GGTCTCATTTGTTATCTCATCTGGTGTACTTGGACAACAGCTAGTACCAGCCATCCATGGCATGCCAAAACTTGATGGCATTTACATTTTTTGCAGCAACAAACAACATCATGAAGCATGGGCCAAAAATTGGACGAAAGTTAAAGGTGTGTATACTTCAATTAAGCCCATTTGTAATGCATTGAAAATTGCTGTCAAACAATGCAATCAAAATGCCATACCAGTAAGCATTATTAGTGCAAATGAAGGAGGTTCTGTCGAGAATCTCAATCAGCTTGAACCAAGCTTCATGTACTCACAAATTTTCAAGGAAATTCTTCTTGATATGAAACATGGTCCGCAGGCTATTAAAGACTTGGTCAAGTTTGGTCAAGAAGAATATCGTGGCAATGTTCAGGAAACAAAAATTATTGAAGAATTTGAATGTACATATCGACCATCAAAGGCCATTTGGTGGTATACACGTGAGTGCTTTACGTACAAAATGCTCAATCGAGCATTACGAACATTGGACGGCGACATTATCATCCGGATGGGATTTTTCCTATGTGATCTTCACCGACAAATCGATCAGTTACACAAGAAGCAGGCCAGCCAATATTATGGAAAGATCTTTTTAGTTTATCGAGGCCAAGGATTATTAATAGTCGATTTCGAAAAACTCACGAAAAACAAAGGTGGTCTTTTATCCTTCAATAATTTTTTATCTACTAGTAAAAATCGAGAAAAGTCCTTCGACTTCGCCAAATCAGCCTTAGAAACAACCAACATGGTCGGTATTCTTTTTCAAATGACTGTTGATCCTATGATCTCATCGACTCCGTTCGCTTTCATTCGGGAAGAGAGTTACTTCGAAGGAGAAGAGGAAGTTCTCTTCTCCATGCACACAGTTTTTCGAATTGGTGACATTCGTAAACTTGACAAGAATCATCCGCTTTACGAAGTAGACCTTAAACTTACATCAGATGATGACCAACAACTCCATCAATTAACTGATCGTATACGACAAGAGTCTTCAGGTGGCACTGGGTGGCATCGAATGGGTAAATTGCTGCTCAAAGTAGGCCAGTGTGATAAAGCTGAAGAGTTGTACAATGTACTACTTGAACAGACATCCGACGACAGTGAGATAGCACATATCTATCACCTGCTTGGAAAAGTGAAACGGGAGCAAGGACAATACAAGGAAGCAATTTCATTTTATGAAAAATCTCTCGAAATCGAGCAAAATACTCTCCCGAAAGATCATCCTTCATTGGCTCCTACCTATGGCAATATCGGTGCAGTGTATAATAAAATGGGCAACTACACGAAAGCACTTGAGTTTTACGAAAAAGATCTGGAAATTACGAAAAAAGCTGTGCCTCCGAATCATCCCAATTTGGCTATTTCCTACAACAACATCGGTGCAGCATATAACGCCAAGAGTGACTACTCGAAAGCACTTGAATTTTTTGAAAAAGCACATCGAATCTTAGAAAGAAATCTGCCTCCGAATCATCCCGATTTGGCTACTTCCTACAACAACATCGGAACGGCCTATAGCGGCATGGGTAACTACTCGAAAGCACTTGCAAACCTAGAAAAAGCACTTGCTATAAAACAAAAATCGCTTCCTCCAACACATCCTACAATTAAAAAGACGATAGATAATATTAACTGCGTGAAAAAGAAAATGTGAATTTGATTTTGTTCTCGTTTGTTCAATAAATTCATTCTCATTGCTATTCATCCTCAACAGCTTTTCTCGGCTCACTATCACGTATGCGCATGACCAGGGGGATCCCCTGTAAGTGTGATATAAGTACACATAGAGCGAACCACACCGGATTGATAGGACAATAAATATAGGCATGACGTAGAGTAAGGACGTCACGGACACATGTTCATAGTAGGCGTTCCCAAGTATTCCATTGCTTTTTGCCATAACATGCACAAAGAATCTTCCTGTGTTAGGTTACGAAGCAAACTGACTGGATATGATACATTATGATACCTTTCGCTCAATACATAATCACAGCTATTTTAGAAAGAATTATTTAACATATAAAAAATGTTCTGTTTTCATGTATTGTGATTAATACATTCATCTAATACATTTAAAGAAAAAATTATTCGGTCCAGACTAGATTAATATCTATCTTTCTATTAAAAAATATTCTTACAAGTCCCATCAGCCATTAGAACATCTAAATTTATATCCCTTCGCTCAATTTGAAACAGAAAACTTACTTAGCTTATACTATTCTATCACTTAACTTGTTCGAAGTAGTAAAAGAATTGCACCTTACTTGCTTTTGTATTTGTGATGTAAATGTGTCATACATTATAATTTAATAGATTCTAATATAATATAAATAGCTTCATATAAATATCATTGTAATTCATTATGTAGCATTAATAGTCACAGATGGATAAATCCATCGAAACAGTAATATCGAAACCGATAATTCGATTTCAGAACATGATAAGCATACTTAATGATATTAATGAAATTTTTAATTGAAAATAAACTGATGGAGATAATATTAAATTATTTAATGCAGTATTATAAATACTTGAATAGTTGTCATCAGAGATATCGATGAGTGATTGTTTTGGCTCGATCCATCCAAGACCAAATCCAGTTGACTTCACACGTTGTCAAAAGTTTTTCTTTGAACTGCGAACTAACCCATGAGTTAATGCAAACTTTATTAGTATAATATTCACTTATCAATTCGTTAGATGTTTTATTGGTACAGTCATTTTTTTATTTGTGAAACTAGGATTTTAATAATTAGAATAGTATTCGTGATTTCTGAACGTAGATATATAAACAATACAAAGTTTCAATAAAACTGTAAAACAAGCAATAGTGAAGTAGAAGTAACAGTATATGGTCATGTATACAATGTTAATAAAGCAAGTACAATTTGATGATGATGTGAATAGGACTCTTCTTTTTACCCGCAACCTTTAATCAAACTAAAACAGAAAAATACATTTATAATGGAATGAGAATGTTTTGTACTAATGATTTTTTCATATAGTACTGTGATGGAATGTCGTAGGAACTTCAATGTTCTTTTGTAAGAAAGAGCAGTACCTAGTGAAGTTACATATTAAAAAACTTTATTGGAAATTTTGTTCAAAGATTAAAAAAATCTTAGAACAAAAGATATCAAAAAACTCCTGCCCAAGTTTGGCAATAACTTCTTATCAAAAGATATTTCTTTGAGTTTTTTGATTATCCATTTTCAACCCATTCAAATATCGTATGTATATAATTGTGTCTTACAATAAAGACTTTAATTTGATAACAAAATAATTGGTCTTGGATACAAGAGAATAGATCGTGATTAATCCAACCAAAAAACTTACTTAGTCTGTTTGGAATTTATGAAGCAAAAAAATTTTTTGGCTGAATATCTAACGAAAAAAATCCCTGTCCCATTCTAAATGATATTGTTTGACAGAGAACTCAATAAGCTATCTTTTTGTATAAAATTTATAGCTTTTGGCAGTCTCTCTCTCAGAATAAACTTCATTTTTGTGACTGTAATCGACATAGATGGAAAGCATTGATGCTAGAGGATATCACAAAAGGGTTTATTTTGCCCGTTATAAAACATGTTGAGAATTTTTTACAGCAACAGAGCTATATCTCTATCTTGTACAACTCACTTTCGACGAATAAACATAAAATCGATTTAATGCAATGAAATCTTTTCTAGGTCCGAAATAAGTTGCGACAGAGTTTCCGTAGCCTTCTGCTCAAGGCCTTCTCTGGTCTTTGAAGAAAATTTCCAATGAGGTCCTAGGATGTATTTTTTAACTCGACACTTTACTCTTTTTAGCAAAAAAACCATGAATTCTCTACGATACTCCATTACAGTGCTATATCAAAAACAAAATCAATGCAGAACTTTTGTATTGTTCGAATGAAAAGCAAAACTTTTAAACGAGTTAAACCCGAGAATACATGTGAAAATACGACCCGACCCGTGAAACCCGTGAACAAGATAATATTTAGCCGGTAATCCGCGATCGATCAGTGGTCTAACCTGCCAAAATCTCTGATATGGGATGCAATTTAAACAATGGACTGTTTTAAGTTTTATTTAATACATTCTTGTTTAGTGAGATACATACCGACTCTGTTGCTGAAACTGTCATAAGCTTTTTTGATCCTATTATTTCGAGCATAACAAAGGTATAGAGCCTAAGAGATGTAATCGGTTTCGATTTCAAATATAAGAGTCTCGTACAAAAACAGATGCCTTGCAAATTCATTACCTTCTTCAATTGATAAGTAAGACAGTACAAGAATGTCGATCTGCATATTTTTTGATTCTTCTTTCTCGAGATCGTCGCAACAGAAAATGATAACTTTTGGCGAATTTGTCTCGTAAGTGGAAAAGAAAAAGAAAACTCGCTAAGAACCATATAAATACGATGCAAAACGATTTCAATTAATATAAGAACGATAATCAATTTCATCTAAAGTCTAACAAATCCTCTCGAAAGTTTTCATTATCGTTTCTGTTCACAAGAGCTGATTGAAAACTACGGAAGACGAACGAAAGCTCACGTTGAAGATTCAAAAACATTTGTCACCATTTCAAGGCATGACTCTTGCTTACATAGGTCGAACGAATTTCTAACAACTCATCGTTCTTTAGAACACTGCGTCAAAATTTTTGGACTTTGTTAGAGCAAGAAATGCGCAAAATATGGAGTTTGCATGCATATTTGACTAACGACAGAAATGCTGTGCTTTGCATCAATCAACATGCTCATTTTTTATAATTAACCTTCACACATATACAAAAAAAAGAAGTATATACAAAGATGTAAATAAGACAAAACGAACTAACTCTAACAATAAATAAGCGAATTTAGTTTGAAGATATATGTACAGAATTATTAACTGTATAAATTCTGTAAGCGAATGTTTTTTTTTTTGTAATATTCGACTAAAAAACCACACAATGCTTAAGTAAAGAAAACATAATCATCTATGAATTATTTAAGGAAGAACAAGAAAGATATCGTCGGGCTTGTTCAGTAACATAACGTTGATCACGTGTTTGACCGATTAATATTTCTGTATAAGTTGGATTATACTAAATAAATAATAAACCAAAGTTATTCAAAGAAGTCGTTTTCTTTTTCACTTACACCGATTTTTTCTTGAAAATTTTTCGGTAGATCATATTTATTGAAACGTATTAATGAATGATTTTCGGAAATAAGCGATTCAGACATTGGAAGAAGATATTCACTAGAACATTAAAAAGTGACAAGAGATTAAATTTGATTTGATCATTTCAATTTACTTGAAACAATCTCGTTTTGGACTTGGTGTTAAACGTATTAAATGAGGCTAAAAAATATCAAGATTTCATACTATTATACATTTAAAGAAAAAAAGGCATGAGTATTTTTTTGAATAACTTTTGATAGGAACAAGATACAGAAGTGCGATTTTCACTATGATAAAAAAAGAAGTTTTCGACGCATAAATACGCGCTGCAATTTGATTCACCAATTAGAATAGAAAAATTTGTTCTGTTTCGTGCGAAACAAGGTTAACATTACAAGCTTGTTCTGTTCAAGAGCTGTAAGGATTTTCTAGAGACCCACAATCGATCGAAAATCACTCGAAAAGCCATCTAGACATGAGTAATTCACCATACCGAGAAAAATGACAATATTTATTTTTGAATTCGAAACGATCTAATACTGTCATTTCTGTGTTTTCAAAGTTTCACAATCTGTTGCTATTTAGCATAATCAGTCTACATGTCAAAAGTATTGAGATAAGTGTGAGATCATTTTGAATCAAAATATAAAAATCATCATTCGAATTAGAACGGTGAACTAGCCTTGTCAAGATCCTTTTCCGGATTGGTTCTAGTCAATTTACTGAAATCGGAGGTCTCGATAAAACCTACATAACTCCTGAATGGAACAAACTAACAATATCGATCGAAAGCGAAGAGTTTTTCCTATTCATTGCTCGTATTACCAATCAAGACCAACTAAAAACTTAGTTCAATTTTGGTCAATCAGAGTTCAGCATAAGTTTCCACGCTGAAATCGTCTCTTTGCAATAGTGAAAATCATAATTTTGTATCTTTTCCCTAGCAAAAGTTATAGAAAACATGTTCACGACTCTTCATTTTTGCAAAAGATAATAATTATTAAATAATATTATTTTCATACTCGTTCTGGTGTATTGAGTACACAATATTTTGAAGGTGACGATGTATTTGAAATATTAGTTGGTGAAACATTTATATTTTCATTATTTTTCATTGAACATACATCATCATTTGAAAATAAATGCATATCTGTTGATAATAAAGATAAATGTGGTGATGATGAACAAGTAAATACAGGTAATGATGATGTTCTTGAAGGTGGATGTGATGAATAATAATCATTAGATGAATATGAATGAAATAATGATAGATGATGATGGTGTTGATGTTGATCCGATTGTGAATTTTGACTTGAAGATGTATAATTAGCACAAGATGATAACATTGGTAATTGTTTAATTGGTGATGGTTGAGAACAAAAGAGTAAATGTTCGACATTTTGAGAAGAATGGTGTTGACAAAGATTAATGGAGATTTGAGATGAAGATGGCATAGACTAAAAGTAAGTATAAAAAAGTTTGGTTTTGTTTATCATTTATGTCATCTGTTATGTAAATTCTACTTCTCAATTGAAGACTTCCCTTAAATGATTAGTTTCTCACGAAACTGGAACTTCAATTAGTATATTTCGAGTGGGAAACAGCTGAAGTCTTTTTTGATTTCACTTCGGTATGTTCACAGAGATATATGCGTAGTTCTCACGGTTTCTACTCGAAAAATTTAAAAAGACATAGATCAACATTAGTTCTCGTTTTTTGAAGTCATAAAAATATTTTTCTGGATCATCGAAATCGAAAGAGTTTCTTAAAAAACCTTTTAGTTCAAACAATCGAACTAAATCCGATACAATTGCATTAACTAGTTTTTCTGCTTAAAATTAATTAGAACAATAATATTCTGCAACTAGCTGGTTGGATAGCCGCACCCGTACCCTGCTAGGAGTGTGAACGGTAACGATTTGTGAAGATACAAGCTTCATTTTTAACAATATAATTCATAAAAAATTTGAAGAAATATGTTTCTTAATGCTATAGTTAATTGTTCATTGTGTTTAGTGACGGAGCCAGAATACTAGCTTCTCTCTTACACTAGCAAGATTAATGCAGAATGTTGTTGCTGTATTGACATGGCGTATTTTGGATAACATAACACACGTAGCGAGGGTGAGACCTCAAAACAACAGAAACACTAGTGCTATGGCTTGGACACTAGTTGTGTTGAACTATCGACGAGGTGTTAGAGTAATGCAACCGATGCTGTATCTAGCGTGAGGTTCGAGAGGTCGGCGTTCCTCCAACGATCAGGCTGATGCTTTCAGAATTTGTAGTTCTTCTCTTACGTGTTTGTGCTTTCAAAAATAAGTGTTCGCCCTTCCGAAGCTTTATATCGCTCGTCTAGAAGAGAAAGCCTGGATGAAACACTGAATGTAACCTATGAGCCAGGTACTCGTGAAGTAATCCTTCCTGCTATAGGTTTATGTATCATTTTCTGAATATCAAAAACTTAAATTTACCTGTAGTTGATCGGCATAGATTATTGATATATGTTGTGTTGGTGTAATATCAAAATTATTTTCAGTAGTAGTTGAATAAAATTGATAATTATTATTACTGTTCACAATTGGTATATGATTTTCTGTTTTAATGGTCGATAAAGGAGATAATATATTTTCTATTGAAGTTTTTTCTATATTTGAAGAATGCATTTGTGATGTTTGATTTGTTATTGTACTTAATGGGATTCGAGATGAATGATTACTATTTACTGAAGTTGATTGATCAAACTTTGGCCATGGAAAATCAGATGGAATTCTAAGACAAAAAAAAACCCTCAAAAACATATTTAATTTAATAGTTATATTTACAATGCTGTCCAATCAAGTCCTTGTTTTTTTAAATTTTCAACTTCTAAATGAAATTTCTTTTTCATTGAAGAATTCCAATGATTTTTTATTGAATTATCTGATCGTCCATTAAAATATTTTGCTATTTCAGCCCATTTATTACCAAAATGTTGATGTAATATAAATAGACGAAGATTTTCTTCATTTGTCCATGGATTTTTATTTATTAATGGATTAAGATGATTATGCCATCTAAAATAAATTAGTCAAAAAAATTTTTTTTTCTCTTCTCCTTCAAACAAATTACCTTTCACGACATTGTTTTCCAACACGTCCTTTTAATTCTTTAGCAATTAAACTCCAATGTCTGGCACCATAATCACGTACAAGTTCAATAACTTTTTTATCTTCTTCATCAGTCCATGGTCCTTTTGTTATAGATGGATCAAGAAAACGTTCCCAACGATGTTGACATTGAGCATCTGTACGACCATTACCAACATATTTTGATATATTAGACCAATCTTTTAAACCATCATGAGATAAAATAAATTCTCGTAAACGATCATCCTATTTAAAAAATAACTTAATGAATTAATATCTCTTTTTTTGTTTTTTTTCCTCAATATACCTCTTCTTTAGTCCATTTTTTATAAGATTTTTTTCTTGAGGATAAGATTTTTTTAATAATTGGTGAATTTTCATTATAATCTAATTCATCTTCAGTAAAACTATTTTGACTACAACTTTGCCTAAAGAATAAAGTTTACATTGGGAAAAAAAAAAATTAATTAAAATTTTCTTACCGTTTCGTGATCATTCCTAAGAACATGTCTCAACGTAGTCAATTTGTTGGTTGAAGAGAAAACAATGAACGTCGTTCGCTTGACCGGTCGTTCGTTTTTTTTTTCTTCTTTCCTCGACTGCTATGTTCGGAGAAAATTCGACAGGAAAAACGCGCGTTTGGAGAAGAAACGAAAGAGAAAACGAAATTAGATGGGATAACGTCAATCAAATATTAGAAACAGGAAGGAAAAAAGATCGAGAGAACAGATATACTAAAATATATGTTATGAAAAAAGAGAAACTTTGTGTTCTTCTTAAGTGAAAAAAGACAGGTTACTCGTGCGAATAGAAAAACATCTGCTGAACATATAGTCGAATTCAATTGATGAACTTTTTCTTCTAATGTATTCCGACTAATGCTACTAAAAGGAAGTCAACGAACGGAAATGGAAATATTCATTTGGTGAAAACTTTTAAAACAATACTGACATCTATATGGAATTAGCTATGAAATGAAAAATGATTTATTTTTTTCAATCGCTTGTGCATTAATTTTTAATGCTTATCCCTAAATAACACTTGGAATATATGTAGATAACATAAAAGCAAACTATATATATTGATAAAAAAAATCAGCTTATCAATTGTTAACAGATAAAAATAAGCATTTGCCCGATAATTGGATTTCTATTTATTACAACAAATCGCAAAGATTAGTAATCATATCTTAATAAAATATTCCAATAAAGTTTTTCTATACAAATAAATCTAAAAAAAACTTCTAGCTAGGAAAGTCCTTCAACTGTTCAATCGCTTTTGAGTCAAACTATATGCACTATCTGAATCCAAATGAGCTATGAATATGCTGAAAAGAATTCGTGCTCCTAGTTTATTGTTACGGAAATATTGAATCGTTTACGGAATTTTTTCAATGAATGCCTTGATTCCCTCAAAAATACCTACCAGAACTTGTCAGTATCCCTATCGTAAGATACAACTATGGCAAAACCGTGTCTTTCACATCGCACATATAAACCAGCAAATTTAATGTTCTGATTTCAGGATGAAAGCAAATCAAAAGACTGAAAACTTTCGTAACAAACAAATTTAATTAAGACTTGCCTCTATACAAAATTTTAAATCGAAATTTGAAAATCAGTTTTTTCAGACCATTGTATAACTTAAAAATGCAGTAGCTTTGTGGTAATAAAATAAGAGCACGAACTCTTTCCCGAGTATTCATGATTTCTCTTTGGATCTGTATAATACATGTAGTCTCGATTCAAATGTAATTGGATAGTTATTCGAAGAACTCTCCTCGTGAGTACTTCCATCTATTCCCTCCGTGCTTATATATACTTCATTTCACTAAAGTAATGAACAAAACGTTGGATATGTAATTTTTTATCAATGCCATTTGCAAGATTGTTTCTGGTACCTGAAAATTACTGCGTTCAGTTGACATCATAATTCATCGCTGATATCTTGGCGTGGGATACATTAGATAGGTAACTCCATTGCTTATTAAAATCACTATCTGGATTTGCGCAGGATGCTTAATACTGCAAAAAAAAACATTGTTGTTAAAGTTTTCTTCACGATCTTACTACTTTGTACTTGTAAAGCGCAGAGCTACCTTCAAGCAATCAAGATATATTTCAACTTATAAAAATTATAAACATCAAAAACAAACGATTTTCTTTTTTTTTTTTGGATAAAAATGCAATTAAGTTACTTGCTATTTATTCGTACAGTTTACAAAAAAAAGTTTTTTGTTTTATTTTCGCAAATCAACATTTAGTACTGAAAATAAATATTCAATATAAAATGTTGTTATATCAAATATGATTGTTATTTATATTAATTCTATTTTTTTTCTATGAAAAATGATGTAATTAATCTTTGTTCATATAAAATTCAACTTGTATTTAAATATATTGATTATCAAGATAAAACATTTTAAACAGATTTCGTTTCATTACAATTAGGACAATTTAATTCACTCGGTTATAAATGTATATCCTTATATTTCTAATTCAAAAAGAATCATGGGATATTTTTTCTTTTCTTTATTAATTATTTTGAATTTATTTAAATTCAATCATCATATGAGCGAATTAAACTCATTCAGCGAAACAACAAAGAAATAATGAAGATTAATATTCAGCTTTAAGATTTTATGTTTACAGTGACCTGTAACAAGTTCTTCTGTCAGTCAATGTAAGTCCTACAACACTCTATTGACGTTCAATTCAAGTATTTATTCTTGGAGTCGAATGATTTTGCCAAAGTAGTTTTGAAGAACAAGGTGATGTATCGACAACTGAATTTTAAAACATAAGAGTCAGGTCAACACTGAAATTAGAACGATTCATTAATACAGAGTTATAGAATTAAACGTACTCAAAAAATCAGAAACATTCATTGGCCAGTTCGTTACTGTGATCTGAACAATCAAACCATTGAATAAATTCACCTGGTTCACTTATACAAAGACAAAGAGTTGGAAAAACAGAATCAATAGCAAAAATACTTTCTTAAAAAAAGAAATAACGATTTAATATAAGATTTGGTTGTGTTATAACTAAGTCAGCAAAAAAATATCAATATGAAACAATAGAAATTTTTATAATTAGAAAAAATTGTATTCTTCTTCTATGAGTTCTTCTAACACAAATAACAAAGGATACGTGTTGTTAAATTACGAAATAGGTTTCCTTCCAAAATTGAGTTTATTATTTCCTCAATGGTTAAGTCAGATGTCAGAAGTCAATTGATATTCGAATTAGACCTTAATCTAGCTGTTTATTGGTATATACAGTGTGAGGACATGCAGAGCACAGCTTTCCTCCTATGGAATTTTGAAAGCAATAGTCCACTTTGAATTATATATTATTCGGTAGACTTTTCAAAGTTCTGCAGAACGATAATATTGCATAGAGCTTAACTTATATGAAAAACATTTTGGTCAAATGCAATGTTCACGAATGCCGAAACTTCTCTTTTTTGACTAATATTTAACTAATTTTAATAAAAATAATTCGATTTCTTATCGAAATAGAACACATATTTGAAATTAACATAAAATACTGAGTCAGTCCATATATGTCCCAAACCCTCTTAAAATTTACTCCTCGTCCCCTCGGAGTGACATTGAAAAATACCGTCAGTTAGAACGTCAGCTTAACTATGACAAACTACTTCCGCATTTTTTAAAAACTAAGAAAATCCAACATGACAGATGAATGAAAGACTAATAAAAGCGATTAATGAGTGATTTTATTTTTCGACGTCACTTTGAGAGGGAAACTCCAGTTGACTGTTAAGACGAAAATAAAAATTATCGGACGAACATATCAGGCCCGGCTTAGGTTTTTATGCAGGCTGCAAAGATGTCGTCTGTTTTAATAAGACACCGATGTATTCTGATTAAAAACAATTAAATATCAATCAAAAATCAGATTGAAGCCTAATTTGAATAGCTATTGACTTCTTACATTCAAATTAACTATCGAGTAAATGAGAAACTCAATTTCAAGGAGAGAAGCGGACCATTTAATTGCTTAACGATCCTGCTACTCTCACCTTTTTGCCTAAAGCAAGGTGATTGAATCTAAATGCTGACAGGTTTCGAGATAAATTAATTATTATCATAAATCATGATATTAGAAATCGAACTTTTTATTTCAACCAATCATATTATTTTTCTTTCGTTACGCTACAAATCATATGAAACTAACTATGCAAGTAGCGCTTATATATGTATGTCTCTTACATTAACTGTATTATTGCTTGTTGTTTTTTGTATTTTGCATATACTAAACGAGAAAAAGAAATCTAATATAGGTGTGCGTATCGTAATGAATATGGAATCCCCGTTTTCACCACCTGTCCTCTATTTAACAGATGATGATAACGATGGTGACACTCAAATTGATTTAAGTATGCCATACGGTAATTCATTTAAAACTACAATGAACGAAAATTTACCACATAAAAAACGAAAATTACCCAATACAAATGCGCATATTAATCCATCAATGTTGAATTGGTCAAAACGACAACGAAATGATAATTATGGTTATCATCATCATCATTATCAACAGCAACAACAACAATTACATATGACTAAACATTTCATTAACCATGACCCTGAAACGATAGTTATTGATCCAGATGAATCTATTAATGAACAACAAGAATCTCATTCGTTTTTTGCCTTTGATTGGTCAAGTGAATCACCTACATCTACAAGAACATATTTAAATCCAATTCAAACAGCATCTCGTGTTTCAATGCCACCCTTAAATACTGTGATGAATACTACGAAACATCATTTAGATCCATCTGAAACAGTTCCACTGTTTCCAAGAATTCATCCAAATGATAGATATTTGCAACAAGCACAACGAAAAACGATAAATATTCCCATGTCTTCAAGTTCATCACCACCATTACCATTCATTATTGTTCATATATCAAAGATCATCTCTGTAAGTTTGTTTAAAAACAATTCTCAAATATAGTAACGTGATATTTGGTTAGTTTCTTACCTTTACCTACAGCAACATCAGCATTTACTCGACCTACTGCTCAACGTGTTCAACCAGGAAAAATCATTCGAATCCCTTATGCACATTCCGTAAGTTTTAAGTCTATTATTATATTCTTTTCAAATTACATTTAATTTGATATGACAGTGTTCGGTAGACATATACATTATAACTAGTATAATATTACTGTTTATTTGTATATTCGTCTTTTTTAATATTTTTTGCGATTAAGTGAAGCGAATCGGTATACGAATAAAATAGTAGATGATTGCATTTATCACGTGTCTTCAATAATATAGTGCGTCTTGTTTCGGTCATATCAATCATATAAAAATGCAAAAATAATGCTAGTTATGTCACCTTGGATACGTGATAATAATTCTGTGTAGGCCGAAAAATAAAAGTTTGGTTTCATATGGTTGATTGCAATCGATTGAGTCATAACCGTGACAGTTACGGATATTAAATATAAACTATTTATTACGTATAAGAAGGAAAATTTAGCATAAAAAAAATTCTATTATCTATTAACTTATTTAGAATAACTTATGAAATTTATAATTATATTAAATTCATTCTAATAATAAATATATGAAAAGAAGGGTTCAAGCCTCTTTTTAATCGAAATTCAATCATTTCCAGATGAGTTGAGCCTCCTTCAGCCGCCGTTTGATTATGCCAGTATAAATGTTTCTCTAAGTATTTTCTTAATATTATGGTTCATGCTCATCGTCATGCCTTATTTCTTTTTTTCCAAAAAAATTCCCAATTAAAGTCTTTAGAAAAACATATCACAGATAAAAATAAGATTCTCTTTGTATCTATTCATTGGAGTATCAAACCAACGAAAAACTCTTGTAGTGCATAAAAAGCTGTATCTTTGAATTATGCTTGTAAAATGTTTTTATTTAATATATTGCATGTATATGAATTATTTTTCTCTTCATAGTTTACAAAAATAAAAGGTATTTTGAGACTCTCAGTAGAAGTCATGTGAGTCAACAAAAAAGAAAACACGGTAATATAAATCAGAAAGTACATTTCTAAGTGTCCAATTGTTTTTGAGTCAGGTCTATGTGTATCATGTAAGTTCTAATGATATAATAAATATAATTTGTGTCAATATGTTATTACTACCGAAATATTGTATTTTTTAACTGAATATTGTGTTCGCGCTCAGAAATATTAGGAAAACAGATTTTCAACTTTGACTAGAAAATTTTGCGTAAAGACGCATCTCAATGAGGACAGTTTTTTTTGTGAAAGTTTCAAATTTTTTGATTGCTTCTATCCTAAGGTGCAGCAATGGCAAAAGCATGTTTTTCCGCGGCGTTCATATACTGCGACAAAGTCCGATGTTCTTATGTTCGGAATAGATGCAATCGAAAAATCTGAAATTTGGACAATAAACTATTCTGATTAAGGCTTATCTCTATGCAAAGTTTCATATCGACGTTCCAAACGCAATGTTCCTAGTTTTCTTGAGAAGAATCGCGTCATTCTGATGAAAACTACGGTATCTCTGTAGTAATAAGCTATTAGTTCAGACATTTTTCAGACTATTCATAGTCCTGATGCAAAAGTGATTTGACCTTTAGAAAGGTTCCTTCATCAACTTTATTTCAATTTTAAGAGAAACGCATGATGCATCAGATTGAAATGACAGAATTTGAATAGGACTTTGTATTTTCAAATATATTGCGCGGAAGTACTTTTTTTAGAACGAATTTCACTATACATCATGAGAAAGATCGTATTTCGTTCTACTCCTAACCATAATTTATCATGCTATTGTACTTGTACGAAGCTAGAAAAATCATGCTGAACTTTTCAGGAAAACAGCTTCTGGATGTTGAAGTGTCATAGCATTATTCATTAAGTTTTTCTACTTTACTCTGATGATGAACTTTGATCGTGATATTGAGAAAATCCTTGGAGAGTTATTTATTGTGATGTAACATTCTATTTCGTAATATCTCTGTAGAAAACCATATCTTTGCCTTTACTCCATCGCTATTAAAATTATTCTTGCAAATGAAGAAAATTCTGATTTAGATACCACCACCACCACCACCCGTGATAGTTGGTCATAGAAATGAACCTATGTATCAACCAACATTTCATTCACCACCGCCTGTTCCACTATTAGCAACAACACCAACACCAGAAATTCGCCGTCAAGCACTTAATGGTAATGGTATTTTATCAGCATTTTATGATTCAAAATGTTATCGATGTAATATTTGTAAATTTAAAAGTGTTACAAGGTTTGTTAATCTTTTCTTTTTCTTCGTATTATTGTTGAATTAATTTATTTCTGTGATTTCTTTTTTGTTTAGTTCACTACTTCTTCAACATCTTTTTACTCATATATTTTTTTGTCATCAATGTTCATTTTATACATATTCACATCATAATTTATATCAACATATATTTGAAAAACATCATTCACATTTTAATGATGATAATTTTGATCCAAAAAAGTTAGATTTACTTTATGTTACACGTTGTCAAGATGGAACATTTGCTTTATGTATGGATTCATCACCACCACAAAGCAAAATATCGACATCATCATCAACAATAACACATACTGATGAACAATTGAGTAATTCATCAACAACCAATAATATTCAAAAACCTAAACGTAAACCTCTCAAGAAAAAACCTCCAGTACAAAACAAAGTTTTAGATACTGATATTGTACTTTTACCAGAAAAGCAGGATATTAAGTCTCAACCATCGTCATCATCATTATCGTCATCATCATTATCATCATCATCATTACCAATAAAAAAACATTCAAAATCTACAGAAAAACAAACACATACATATGTTTTAATGAAACATCGTCGTTGCTTTTCAAGTAGAAATCCATTGTGTTTACATTCATTAACATTAGAATATATGATATGTCGAGAACATACTATTAGACGTATGTGTAAAACACAAGGAATATTAAAAAGACAAAACATTCAACCGAAACTCACAGAATTAAGATTGATCGATGAAGTATCAAAATGTTTGAAAACAATTATAAATGATATTGTGGATATGGAAGAATACAGGTTAGAAATAATTCTCCTCTTTTATATCCCTTTGATTTAAGAGTTCTGAGATAAAAATACGAACGAAATCTCCCAACTGATTAATCCCTTATAGATCGAGATGATGTGCATCATGTAAACATCTCACTCCAACAGAAGCATCAGGAACTTCTAAGACGAGTAAATATTCAAAACTTTTAGCGGAGGGGATTTTTATTATGAGGAAGCTATTAATACAACTTTACTGTGAGTGGATGTCAGTGTTGCTGAAGAGAACACTCGGATAGCCATACCTACATGATATCATGAGGCTACAAGCAAAAAAAAATAAGAATTTGTTAATTTGTAATGATGTTCAAAAACCTATTTCTAGACGAAGTGACGATTACCGAGTATATAGTGACTATGATCTCGACCATTGACAAACACTGAATATGAGTTCAAGAAATTCTTCTTAATGATGAGTATTTGACATGTGAAGAAATGCTTTTGGTACATAGACAGTGCATGACCAAGATTAAATTACAAGTCATTTTCAAGTTTCAGCTTGAAACTTTCCATAGAGACTGGACTCATCTAGGATAGTTTATTGTGAAATTTTCAGATATTTTCATTGTGTCTACCCTAAAATATATCTATAAGCTAAGTTTGACTTTTACACGGCTTATATAGACCGGCAAATTTGAAATTCTTATTTCAAAAAAGGAATAAATCAACAGACTGGAAACGTTCACAATAAACTACTCCGATTAAGATTGATTTCTGTACAGAGTTTTACATTAATATCCGAAAATAGTTTTTTTTGTAGTGTTTCTAAAGGGAATCATCGTATTGACATTAAAAAGAGTGAGTAAAAAGGTGATAACTCAGCAACAATAAGCTAAGGACACGAACTCTTTTCAGGATATTCATAGCTTATTAGGGTCTACATGATGTACAATGATTCGAACTCCAAAGTAATTAATCATTTGGAGAACTTACTATTCTGGTATTTTTGATTCTTGAGCTTTTACTTATTACAGAGCAAATTCGGATTTCATTTGTAATAGAATTTAAACTAGATTTTTTTACCGAATGAAATCAAAATTCTACATTGAAAAATTTTCATATGAATAAAAAAAATTTGAAATTTTATTATACATAATTTTAGAGATTCACATAATCTTATATGTGCCTTGCCAAATAATATTATCAATTTAATCTTCCCAACTGAAGATCTTAATACATTAATGAGTACATTAAAATTAAATAATAGATATGATAAAGCGATTGAACAAAATCATCAATATGATTCTGAACATTCCGTACGTAAAAATACCAAACATATTTTTATATTATCTTCATCGGAAACGAATAATAATGAGCAAATCATTTTAACATCATTGCATTCATCAATAACAAATACGGATTCAACTTTTATACAGACAACACTTAATAAATTACCAATATCATACGAAAATACACATCGATTTTTAAAAGGAACTATTAGTAAATTATTGTTTTAATGTTTTTTTAATAGAAATAATGATTTTTTTTTCTTGATATTCATCATTTTAGAGCCTTTTCCACGAACGACTGATTCGAATTCAAAACCATTAAAAAAGAATAACATGACTTCAACACCAACTCCATCAGGAAGTAAGAATTAAATTGAATTTTGTTAATGACAGAACATTTGAATCCTATTTGTTTGTTTATTTTCCATTTTCATTGTTCATTAAAGCTGAGAACAAAAAAAATCAATAGAATTGAAGTGCTAATTTAAGAAACAGAGATGAGCTCGTTTTGAGATTTTTTTTAATTTAAACAAGACCGAAAAAAAGAATTTATTTGAAACAAGAAACCTAACAGAAGACTACACTGGAACATTTATTATTTTACTAATATTAATAACGAAGACGCATGTATATTGTATTAATTTTGAGTTAAATGATCATTAAGTAAATCCTTTTCTTTATAAAAAAAAAGATAAATAGATATTCGTATTATTATTCATGAAATTTTTCTATTCATTGGTCTTGCTTTTATATGTCGAAATTCTGATCTGAACTCATCAATTAAGCGAAGAACTGAAGCATGCTCATCTCTGTCAGGCAATGCATGATCATTCATTCATTCACTACATACGTTTTATCAAAGCTAGATAACTTTTCTATATTATGGATGCAACGGTGATGGTTGGATCTTGTCCGTTTGGTTCGGATCCGAAAATTTTGCATATGATAGGCTCTAGCAGCAATGTATTGATCTTACGTACAACTATACACTGGTCTAAATACGTATCAATACACTAACAGTCAATGCACGATTGAACAATGGTAGTCTTGGATTGATTTTTCATTTTTTTCGATTGTCCAGTTTGATTTTCTTGCCGGATCTAAGGTTAACGTAGTTTTACCATGTGTTTTTCACCGTTATTCTTTATGTACATGTCTAGACTAGTGTAGCGTTCTATCTAAGATCGGTAATTATCATCACCCTTGCATCACTATTCTATATAAACGTATCATTGATAAGAAAAAGCCTTCGATTCAGAAAAAGAAAAACCGTAATGTTAAACTCTTAAAATCCTTCCAGTAATTCATCTTCTCTTTGCATGCATCATAATAAATTACAAGTAATATATTATGAAATACATTAATTTACAATGGTCTCGTTCATCATAGAAGCAGTTTCATTTCTGTTTCAGAAAAAAACCTGATACATAATTCTACTAACATTCTTTATTTCTACTATTAAATAATATTTGTTTTGTATTAATTTAGATCCTGAACCAATTTATTCTTATGCCACTAAACTAGCACAACATAAAAGTTCTTCATCTACATCGCCAATAATTGATAGAAATAATAATTCAATTGCATCATCAGCACCAAAAAAATCTTCAACACCAAGTGTTATTATTCTTGACTAAAACTATGCTATACTGTGATTTTTCTTTTTATACTTTTTTGAGTGCTTTCTATGTTTAACATTTAAGACAGACTGTCTTCTGTGATATATATGTATTCTATGGAACATTTTCATGTACAAAATAGTTTGCTCAAAAAAAAAAAAAAAAAATTTGTCCACGTGATTATAAACATTTTTTTATTCATCCGAATTTTTTTATTTTTAATTATACATATTTATATATATATACCTATATCAGGTAAAAATAATAAATATAGTTTTAATTTATATTTCAAATGAAAAGAACGATTTTATTGCTAGTTGTTACAAGAAATTTTCTTTTTCCAGATTTAATTAGTTTTGTTTTATCTTTTCACCTGTTTTGAATGGCTGAAAGAGGTATAACAGATGATGTTAAAATAGATGAGAATGTTACTTTTGAAGATTTGGCTATTTCGGAACTAACAATAAATTCACTTAAAAAAGCTGGTTTTATTAAACCATCACCAATTCAATTACAAGCATTACCATTAGCACTTCTTGGAGTTGATCTTCTTATTCAAGCAAAATCTGGTACTGGTAAAACACTTGTTTTTAGTATAACAGCTCTGGAATTTGTACAAACTATTGATAATGATGATGAAAATTTAACTGTGATAAAAACAAAAGTAATTATGCTTGCGCCAACACGTGAAATAGCACAACAAATTGTTCAAGTCATTAAAACAATCAAACAACCTGAATGTATTGTACATACATTTATTGGTGGTACAGCATTAAAAGATGATCAAAATCATTTAAAAAAATGTAATATTGTTGTGGGTACGCCAGGAAGAATTGAAGAATTACTTCGATTAAAATATCTTCGACCTGATACAATTCGATTACTTGTTTTAGACGAAGCAGATGTGCTATTATGTAAAGAATTTCAAGTAATTACTTCATTTTATATATATATATTTTAAATCAGCATTCCGATCTGAAAAGAGGAAAGGTGACTATAAGGGATTGACTAAAGAATGGAATATATGTAGGATTGTAGTGGATAGATTATCAAGTTCTACTTTGTGCAGATGACTTGACAATAGATGACGACGCCTGTGGATATGTTACATGCAGGCAGTAGAACTTGATTTAGTACACTGAGGAAGCTTTCTCTAGAAGACTAAGCAAGACTTTTGAAAGATGTATTTTCTTTTCTTTGGAAATGCATATGAGTTCCATAAAGTATGCACATATGTTAAAAGGCTTCTGTGTAAAAACTAGAACATTTCTGGATCAGAAAATAACATATCCTCCAAAAATCTCGCTGGGGCAACTCAGAGACGCATGAGGAAAGAGCTAAGATCCATCCGTGTGCCTTCATTATAATATTCCATTTGAAATATAGCTTTTGTAAAAGTATAAGGCACAACTGTTGAAGAAAAGTTTATACAAACAAGAATAATTAAACAAAACCAAATTATTCAGAAGTTTAACATTTTATTCCATATAGGATTTTTTTTGTTTGGACATCCGTATAACAGATGTTGCCAAATTTTCTAAAATGATTATCTGAAATTTTCAGAAGACTGCTCGAGAATACTTTCGGAAACAATAAAATATCGTATATTAATGAAAGCATGTAAAATCAGGTTTATCGAATCAATTCCTTCAATGACGAATTTAATCGATATCGTCTGATATAAAATTATGAAGATTCATTAAATGTTTACAAATCAGTCAAGTAATTTTTATTTACCAAGTGCACGAAACTATTGATTAGTCATTAAGTTTAAATTCGTTGAACTCGAGTTCCATTGAAAAATCTACGAGCGAACTTCAGAGATCTTTTATACGAAGAATAATGGAATATACACATGTATTGATGGAGAAATAGAGCATTCCTTTTGAGTAACTTCAACCAATGAGCAATCCGCCAGTAAAAGATGTGCATACAACCATTATTTCTACTAGAATAACTTTTGTAAATTCTAATATAATAACACAGTGACAACTCTAAATTACAGTGCGCCTCAATGAATTTCCTCTGTTTATTTTTGTTCTTGTTTAAGACTGCTGTATTTTGTCGGTTTTTTCAATAATTGATTTATAGCGAGAAAGTACAGACTTCAATTTTATTGCTTCATTTATTAATCGTGAATAACACATTAAGTTCAGAGAGTTAAAAGTATATCAGAAAAAGAAGATGACACATCTCTTTTACTGTAATGCATGGTAAGAGTAAATCGAGTTTTTGTCTCTCCTTAATTTTTTAACGCATGAACAAATATGACTTCAGCTTTTGTCGGGATATGTGTTTAGATACAGAGATTTTTTCGATTACTAAAGTTCATCGGATCCAAATTCAAACGCGACCGGTTCTGGAACCAATTCGAAGGGCTATATGGGAATGGTTATACATTGTAATAAACAGGATGTATCATCTTTTTTTCTAAGATACTTTTTATTCTCTGAACTTTATGTGTTATTCATAATTCATATATAAAGCGATACAGTAAACTCTATTCTTTTTGACTATAAATTAATTACCGCAAAAAAAAACCAAACATCAGTAGTCTGAAGCACGAAAAACAGAGGCGATAAATTTAATTGAAGCGCACTAGAATTTTCCAGATTCTTTTGTATATGGAAAATATTTATTTGTTGTTTTTTGCTTAAGGATCAAATTAATTCAATATTTTCATATATGCCATCTAATAAACAAGTTTTATTAGCATCAGCAACATATCCTGAACATATGGTTCGTTTTTCTGAACGTTATATGCGTGATATGACATGCGTACGTTTAGTTGATTCTGAATCACCAAGTTTAATTGGTATTCAACAATTTTATATTTTAATTCCACATCATCCAATAGATTCATATTTATTTGAACAAAAAGTTCTTTTATTATTACGTATATTACCACAATTAAAATTTCGTCAATGTTTAATTTTTTCAAATCTTCGTATGCGTTCATCAGCTGTTTGTGAACGTTTAAAATCTTTAGGTTATGAAACAACATATACATCAAGTTCATTAACACAAAATCGTCGAACAAAAGCTATGCGTGATATGTATAAGAATAAATGTCAAATATTAGTTACAACTGATTTAACATCACGTGGTATTGATTTAGATTATGTTGATTTTGTTATATCAATGGATTTACCTAATGATAGTGAAACATATTTACATCGTATTGGTCGTGCTGGTCGTTTTGGTGCTTATGGTTGTTCATTAACAATTGTATCACATGGTGATGAACAAAAACAATTAGAAAAAATACAAAATGAATTTAAATTAAATCTAATAGAAACTGATGAAAACCGACAATTTCAATTATTAATTAATGCGCTTGAACAAGTAAATATGAATATTAAAAATTCATAAAAATTATATTGTTTTTGAATATAACAAACAACCGGTGATAAATAATATGTATTAAAAATGACCTTGATTTATTCTAGATGAAAATTTTTCTCTTGCGTTCTTTAAATTGTATAGGCTGGTTCTATGCTTATATAGGGCTACTTTATGCACTTTATTTTGTTTATTTTATTGTCGTACCAGCGTATCGTGAACGAAATCAATTATCGAATTGTACATATTTCGTTTTCAATATTATTTTTTTATATTTCTTTTTGCAAGGTTATTTTTATTTAATTCTTACAAGATTTTGCTCTATATCATTATATAATGAAGAAAAAATTGATCAATATTGTAATAAATGTTTAACTTATGCTCGAGAACGATCACATCATTGTAATTTATGTCAGTTATGTATACCAATACAAGATCATCATTGTTTTTTTATTGGTACATGTATTGGTAAACATAATCAACGATATTTTCTTTTAATGCTTTTTCATCTTTTATGTGCACATTTAATTGGTTATATATTTGTTTGTAATTATTTATGGAATGAAATAGGTGGATTTCATTTAATAAATATTTTTAAAATTTTATTTTTTAATATTGGTTATGTAATTGGTTTTGTTAAAACAAAATGGCAAGCATTTATATGTTTGCATCATTATCTTGTTTATTTTGATATAATATTTATAAGTAGATTATTTTATCAAATAATGAAAAGATCATTGAATGGACAAACATATTATGAAGAAAAGAAAATGATTTTTAGAAATAAACAAACTTTTTCTCAGATTTTTGGTTCAAATAAATGGATATTAATATTTCCATTCATCCGTCCATGATACAGAAAAACATATATATATATATAGATGTATTTGATAATGTTTCTTCTTTTTTCCGTATTTCAGAATTAAAAATAATAGATATCATGGCAATGAATGGTCATACTCCATTAATGAAACAAAGTTCCAAATCAACAGCTATTGTTGAAGTTAATTCACTTAGTGAAGATAATCAACATATTAATCCAGCTGATCATTATGGTAATAATAAAATATAAGTTTGTGTTAATTTGTTGTTGTTTTGTTTTCAAAAAAAATTATTTAGGTGTTACATCGGATTATTCTATATGTGTTGATAGTAACAATACAACTTATTCAGATGAATTTATTGAAAGTAAATATATATATGAAATGAATCATTGTGAAGTTGATCATCGAACAAAACGTGTCGAAATCATTCCACGAAAATATCAATATAATTTTCGTACAAAACGTCAAGTAAAACGTACAGGTGTAATGCTTGTTGGTTGGGGTGGAAATAATGGTACAACATTTACTGGTGCAACTATTGCTAATAGAGATCAAATAACATGGATGCGTAAAGGTATGTATAATATCAAAAAGATTTTAAATGCTATTGTTAGTTTTTGTCAAATTAAGTATTGAACATATATAGAGAAAAGCTAATATTGTATTGCGCTTCTTAATAGGGCTAAAGGAAAAATAAATGAGTTATTTTACGGTTTACTTTTTGAAATTATGTAGTAAAAATTACAGGAGTTTTTTAAATAAAGAAAATGATTTTCAATAGACTAATTAAGAACCCAAAAGTCATTTTTTCATTGGTCAATTAAATGTAATTATTATTGCTGCTCTTATTTAATTTAAGCTCTTTCGGAAGGTCAGTTTTGAACTTCATAGAGCGTATTAGTTTGGTAGTTAAATGTCAAAACTCTAATACCTTTTGGTCTATAGATTTGGCTCTCATACTCATTCCCATGTTGTGTAGATGCGTGTCGTCAGACTTTCGAAAAAGTATTTTATGTAGGACTTTTAAGGGTTTCTAATTTTTTGACGTTGTATAACTTTACTGACATAGTTTATTGTTGAAAGAATCTTCTAGCTCCTCCTGTGCTGAAGGAAATCCTGAATTCTTCATTTTACTAAAAATCGAGTCTAACTACGATCAGCATAGAAAGATAAACTTGTAAGTTTGACTATTGTGCAGTTGAATTATACATAATGCACTTAGCATACATTTACTTTGAGATTTATTCTTTTCTAGAGGGTGAACAATTTCCTAATTATTATGGTTCATTAACTCAATCAACAACAATTCGAATTGGCAGTAACAATGAAGGTAAAGAGGTTCATATACCATTTAATACAATTTTACCTATGTTACATCCTAATGATATTGTTATTGGTGGATGGGATATAAATGGAGTAAATTTATATGAAGGAATGAAACGAGCTTGTGTATTTGATTATGCATTACAAGAAAAATTAAAGCCAATGATGAGTCAACTCAAACCATTACCATCAATTTATTATCCTGATTTTATTGCTGCAAATCAAGAAGATCGTGCAGATAATTTAATACCAAAAGGAACTAAACAACAAGATTTAGAACATATCCGAAATGATATTCGAACATTTAAAAAAACTCATAATTTAGAACAAGTTATTGTTTTATGGACAGCAAATACTGAACGTTATGTTGATGGTAAAAATAAAAATCAAATTTTCTCTAAATATGCAATGCAAAAAAAAATTCTTTCTTTTTTTTTATTTTAGTTCGTCCAGGTTTAAATCAAACAAGTGATGAAATTCTTCGATCTATTGCTGCAAATGAAGATGAAATAAGTCCATCAAATATATTTGCTTGTGCTGCTATATTAGAAAATTGTCCTTATTTAAATGGTAGTCCACAAAATACATTAGTACCAGGTATAATTGAACTTGCAACAAAACATCATGTTTTTATTGGTGGTGATGATTTTAAAAGTGGACAAACAAAATTAAAATCAGTTCTTGCTGATTTTCTTGTTTCGGCTGGTTTAAAAGTTCAATCCATTGTTTCATATAATCATTTAGGAAATAATGATGGAAAAAATTTAAGTGCACCACAACAATTTCGTTCAAAAGAAATTAGTAAATCGAATGTTGTCGATGATATGGTTGGAGCTAATCATCTACTTTATAATAAAAAAACGAATGAACATCCTGATCATGTTGTTGTCATTAAATATGTTCCTTTTGTTAAAGGTAAAAATGATATTTCTTTTTTTCTTTGTTCAGTTTAATTTATATCCGTCCCTACGAAAAAAAAGTCAATTTTCATGAGAAAAATTGAAACTGAGATAAATGCAGGAAAAAATAAGCCGAGATATAGAGCCAATCAGAAATTTTTCTGTTAACTGAGTTCAAGTTCAAAACTTTTGGATCCGATAGACTCTACCAAGATCTGATCTTTCATAAACAGTATATTTCTTTGTTATTTCATACCTAATTTTCGAAAAAAATTTTGATGATTTTTGTCATCAAAATGCTTAACGAAGATGCTTTTCTAGGATTTTCAAAGTAGTTTCATTGCAATCAGTTTCTTTTTGTTTTATTTGAAAGAGCATATAAAGCTACAATATTTGACAGAGTACTTTTTTGGATCAATCTTTTTTATTATAACATATAAACGGACCATTTTTTTTTTTAATTTTTCGTGGTATCGAACTTTTCATCCTTTTTTTCAACATAAGTTGCACCAGTCATTGAATACAAAACATCAGAAAAAATATCTCTATTTTCGCAGTGACTATCCAATGCCAATTAGAAAAGTTCATCAAGAGTATGAAAGTATAATTTGACGGGTTCTAGTCTACAGAGAATTCTGAATTGTTACATGAGCTATTTTTTACCTTGTTTGTCGAGTATTTCCCAAAAGCTCTATCATACAGAACTAAAAATTTCATGTGATTTGAATGTACTTAGTCTAAGATCAATTGTAGAGGAAGTCTCTAATACAAAAAAAAAATAAGAAATTCATTTTGTTTTAGATTCAAAACGAGCTATGGATGAATATATATCATCAATATTTATGAATGGTCTTAATACAATAGCTATTCATAATACATGTGAAGATTCACTTTTAGCTTCACCATTAATTATTGATTTAGTTATTTTAACTGAATTAATGACACGTATTACATATAAAACAAATGATAATGAAGAATATCAATCATTTGAATCGGTTTTATCAATTTTATCATATCTTCTAAAAGCTCCTATGGTTCCACCGGGTACACCAGTTATAAATGCACTTTTTAAACAACATCGGTGTATAACAAATATTCTTTCAGCATGTGCTGGTATTGCTATGGATACAGATATGTTATTAGAACATAAGACAAGGTTACCTAAACCAATCAAACTTCAACTTTAAGTTAATAAGAAAAAAAAATCAAGAATTTTCTTTTCAATGTTGTCTTGTGATCATTCATCATTTATCTGCTTGGGTCTCATTTTATCTATATTTATCATTATCATTTTATGCTCTTAGTTGTCGTGTATTTGTTGTGGGTTTAACCAAAAGAAAAAGAAAAAAGAAAACTTTTCCTGATAAACAAATATGAAAAAATTTTCTTATTTAATTTTTGAAGGCTTCAGATTGATACAAGTTGACCAACTTTAAATTTAAACAAATGGACATATTACTGTCGAAGATGCTTACTATCATTGACAACTTTAATTATTTCCGAGATAGCTGAATATCAAGTTTTTTCACAGATATAATTGTAACTCTGTTATTCTATATCTGGTATGAGTTATCCAACATTAATAAGAATTTCAAGAATATGAACGAGAGGAGTTTAGTCATCAAATGAATTTTCTGTTTCCAGATACAATTTAATGACTAGGAAGGGAATGAACGATTAATCTGGAAGATTGTTAAATATAGGCAAGATATCGAGCTGAATCGTATTTGACAATATCGACAATTATTGATGAAGCACTGAAATAATCTTTAATTATATTTCATCCAAAAGTGTGAAAAATACTAATTGATATATTGCATTGGATTGTGCAATCTGACCAAGAAAGATTTAATCAGTTCGAAAAATTTGTCTCGAAAAGAAGGAAACAGCACTTTACTGTTAGAGATGTAAACCAATCGGCTGAACTGCTGTCGTCGCTACCATACAAAAGCAGATATTTGATTTTTAAAACTTCTCGAAGTCACAAATCAATTTTCAGAAAGGTTGTCATCTGGTTTCTTGTCAATAACTTCTATATCATCGTTTTTTTTCTCGTTTACATTTCAAAATTAAGAAAATTTCTAAAAAATGATCGAAAAATTACAACTGTCGTCGTCGAAGCCTAAGACTTTAGTAGTCGTCGCCAATCAATGCATTGGCTTACGCTTCTAGTTGCTGTTGTATTTACAAATTCACTTCATATTCTGGTGATTATCTAACTTATAGATTAGAGTGTATTTTCCTAATTGCAAACCTCCTGCGGAAAGACTTGTTCGTATGGCACTGACTATATTTCAAAAAATCAATTGTTGAGTTGTACTGATACAGAGGTTATCTTTATAATTGATGAAAAAAATATATAATGATTTTCTTAAAATCTATTTTTAGATTTTCATATAAAATTCTATATAATGTCAACATATCCTGGTTCTCCAGCTCGTCAAACAACTCATGCAGTATTGTATAAAATGCCATCACCAACAGTACGTAGTGATGAAACATGGAAAGATCGTTATCGACTTCATTGTAAACAACAATTTAAACGAGCACGTGATAAAATTGTCAACAAAATGCGACAACTTTCTGTATGATTTAGTTTATTTTTTTTTTGTTTTTGTGAAATTATTTTATTAAAATTTTATTTTAAGTTTGATGATAATCAACCAACATTATCAGCTCGTGATATTGTTGAATCAGAATGGATTAAAATGTTTGGTTCATTACCACCAACACCTGTAACATCAATGGATATGGATGGAAATAATTTATTAATGTCAGCTGAAGATGCTGAATTTGAAGCTAATTGGGCAATGATGAATGAAATTCGTCGTGAACTTGAATTAGAACAATTGCAATCAATACCTGATGAACAACCTGAATATATACCATCAATTGATGAATTTAATCGAACTCAATGTCCAATTTGTTCAAATGATTCTCTTTTTCAATTTTCAGCTAATTATCCTGTAACATGTCGACAATGTTCATTTCAATATCAAATTAAAAATGGATCATTAGATGAAATTCATGCTTATCATCGACAAACAATGTTTCATTGTCAAGAAACCAAACTTCATTCAACATTATGGCATAATGAAGATGGAACAATACCATCATTACTTCTTGTTTGTACAAAATGTGACTTCAATTTTTGTCTTTAGAAAATTTATTATTTTGTCTTTCTCTTCTGAAATCTTACTGTAATATTTTCTATTTATTTATGAACATACTCATGATTATTCTCAGGAAATAAAACTTGCATGATTGATTAAAATAGTAACAAACAAAACTTTATTTTATTTATTCTATTGATTACGAATAATGATAAGAAAACATTACAGTTACTTTCTTAGATCTTGAGTGAACAAATTACGCATGTATTTTGATGATTGCTCTGGATATGGATCATTTGTCGAAACGACCATATCATTATGAAATCCGATATCATAGAGTTCTTTGAATAAATGAATTACAACGCTTTTCTGCATACAGACAGCTTCTATAAATGTTACAATGATTAGGAAAATATGAATAACAATCGAATATTCTTATCTAAGTGAGTTCAATAGATAATATCAGTTTATAGTGAAACACAGTTTGTCTCAATAATCTCTGTAGAAAGAATTTTTGTAACGAAAAACTTAACAATTTCTCTACTCGCATTGTAACTTGATGTGGAACAGTTTTTTATAATATATTGTGAATTACAGGCAAAAAGAAAGAGACTACTAAAATTTCCCAGCGTTTATGCAAAATTTTACTTCTGGTACAATGTATTTTTACTATAAAACCAAATTAATCTCTTCAAAAGTTAGGATAAGACTGTTATACTTGAGATATATTCATTGAAGTAATAAAGATAATGTTTTATGTTTACTTTCGTTATACTCTTTCACATTATTGGAAAACAGACTATGTTTATCTATTTCTTTTATAGTTGTTTGTTTAACAAACAAATATTCATATATATATATTGAATAAACACACATAAGCAGAAATGAAATATTAGAACACAAAGCTAATTGATATGAATACAGAAGAAAAAAAAAAGAACAAAGAAAAGAAAACAAATAAATATCGATCATTTTAAAGATTAAGTATTCGAGTAACACATGTATCAATACATTCTTGTTTTCGTAAGAATTTATTATCATTACCTTTACAACCTGAATAATCAAATTGTAAACATTGTTTTTGTTTATAATCATAATACCACATTGGAAGACGACCTAAACATGTACCTCGATCTGGTGATGGAGCACAAGCTAAAAAAAAAAAGATTCATCAAACAAATTTTAAAAACAATGTTTTTTTTTTTTTGAAAGAAAAGAAAACATGAGAAACATACTAATACATTCTAAATGACATTGATGTAATGTTTCAAAATTATTTTCATTTCCACCCAAACCACGGTAAACAAATAAATGACATTTATCTTGATTAGGATCATAGTACCATCGATTATGATATCGAAAACTAATATCATGATAACCTGCATCTCGTGGTTGATAACAACGAATTGGACGATCTAATAAAATAATTAGAAAATAAAAATTTTTATTTTATATATTTACCATGTTCGATTCCATCTTTTGGTTTACATAAAGCTTGTCCTTTTTTGGTTACAGTACATATATCATCACCAAAACATTGATAATTCTATTGAAATAAACAAAATTATTTGAATAAAAAGAACTTCTTCTTTTTAGTGTTACTTACTTTACAAGGTGGATCACATTGACATTTTTTATCAATAATTTCAAATCCATATGGACATTCTTGTGAACATAGACATGAAAGATCACATATAGGCTTTATAGTTGTTTCTGGTAAAGAAATTATAGTTTCATTTGAATATTCTTCATCATCATCAGTAATTATAGTTGATGTATCGTCTTGTGTGACTTCTGAAGTCACAGTAGTATCACCTATTTCTTGATCACTTATCGTGGTAACATTTTTTACTATATCTGATATGATTGTAGTCATAGTTATGCCTTCGTCGATCGATGTTATATTATTTTGTGTAGCATTAATAATGATTGTAGTATCGATACTTTCATCAATTATTGTGGTATTATATTCTGAAACAATTGTTGTTCCTGAATCAATTAATGTTTGATTATCATCTGTTTCATCAGGAAGAATTGTAGTATAATTGAGAAAAATAGCAGATGTATCAGACTCTAATTTAGTTACTGTTGAAAGTTCAATTTGAGAAACACTTGATGTTTCTTCTATAGTTTGATTTACAGAAATTGGAATTGAGGATGTTTCAGTTTCATTATCTATAATAATAGAAGGAAAAGGAAGAAATTTAGATTTAATATAAACAAAACTTGCTGATGATCTCAATAGTTGTCAGATTATCGATTGTATTAGTAGCGGATTCGTTTGATACTACTTGATTGATATCAGTAACATTTGTTGATAATGTTTCTGATTCTGTTGAATTAATATCAATGATTTCATTGGATGTTGTTAATGGAAATATGTTATTAATTGTAGTTGAATTATAATTGTTTTCAATTGATTGTTCAATATCAGTTGTATTATTTTGTAAAATATCATCATTAGTTGAAATAGTTGTTAGTACATTTGTTTCATTAATTTCAATTGAATCTTGTCGTAATAATGGATATTTTATTTCTATTGTTGTTGAATTTATAGTAGAATTTTCATCAACATTTACTGAAGAAATGCTTGTATTTAACTGTTCTATGACTGTAGTTGAATCAAATGAAAATATATCATTCGAATTATTTCGTAATACTGTTGATTCATTATCAATAGTAGTTGTACTACTAATTTGTTCAATATTTGTTTCATCAATTGGAATTTCAACTTCATCATTATCTTCTTCTTTTGTCCAACGTTTTCGTCGTTCACTTGATAACAGTAGAGGTCGTCTACGTGATAATACAGATTCTGATGTTGTTAATTCATTATCAACAATGGATGGAGAATGTCGACGATCCAAAGACCATTTTGAAGATGAATACAAATAAGAACGAAGACTAGCAGTATTGACATACTAATAGAAATAAGAAAAATAATTGAGTTCATATATATAGAAATTTTATATCATTTTTCTCCTGACAAATTTTGAATATACTCATCAAGGAGAAAAATTAAAATGATCTTAATGATAGAATATTCTATGATAGTACATACGTGTGTTATCAATAATAAGAATAATAGTGATAAAAAAGAAGAATAATAAATAGCCATAGTTTTTGTTTTACTGTTATATTAATGTTCAAATGAACTCAAAGTTATTTACTACACAAAATGATTAGTAGTTAGATATCGTAGAGAATATCTTTCGTTTCTATCTTTTTTTTCCTGCTCTATTCTGATAACGTAATACTCATCATTATAATATTTTTCTGATGGACAGTTAGTCCTGTTATGTTGCTCTTTCTTCACTGTTCGATGTAATTTATTGATAATCGATCTGTGGTCAAGCAGAGATCTTTTCTTTTTTTTCTTCTCAGTTTACATTATCATTACAGTAACGATTTTTTTTTTGTTCTTGCAAGCATCTTTCCGCCAATGTTGTTTTATTTTCTTTTTCCCTCCAGGCATCGATCAATGGATAGCGTGAAATCCTACTAGGATAGTGATAGATATGTATATATTTATAAAGTAAACTGACCCATATACAAAAGCACAAACACATTTCATAATCGTTTAGTAAAAACATCAAAATGATGGAAAGAATAGGAATAGTTTGCATGTAATCTTTTTTTTTAACTTCGTCTCATTAGTATAAACATACATCAACACTTTGTATATACAATTGACTAATTGTCCGTATCATCATTATTGTCATTGTCTTTACTTAGTAATGATTGATATTAATAATATTTAACTTGTCATTTTTTAAATTTATTAATTGAGAAATAAAAATCTAAGTCGTTTGTCAAGGTCATCGATTGATTGTACTTTATTGTTGTTGTTATTTTATTATGATAAACAAGCAACACAAGATTGATTACATCATGACATTTTGCAGCCATGCATATACGTCTTATATGCACTGATAACTGTCCTTTCCTTATTATGTAATACATCACATTCTCGATGAACAACAACCAACAAAAAAAAAACACCGAAGGAAGACAAGAGAATCGCCGATCTGTACTATCCGTATATTTGTATGATTGTTATCAATTTCTACCAAGATGATTGGACTCATTAGAAATAACAAAAAAAAATGTATGCTTATCAGAATTCTTTTATGATGCAAGATGAAGCACAAAAAAAAATACAAATGTTAATTGAATATATGAACAAGAACGGGAACACACAGATAGTTTATTCAAGTTAGATTTGTAAAGCTGCTCAGGACAACATCAAGTAACATAATCAATATCATTCATGCATATTTGAACGTCTCATGTCAATCTTTTGTAAAGAAAACAATATGTTATTTATAATATCTTATGCACTGCAGAGAGACAACACATTGCTGACATGTCAATTCGTCTTTGACTATACATTGTGACCTGTCTACTTTTTTCCTTATGAAAAGTTTCTTGTCATAAAAAAGATGATTATGTAAATAGAAAAATTGTATACGTTATTAGTTAACTTGTTCTAATTTTGCTAAGATCATAAAAAAAAAGAAATCTGAAACTAAAAGAATGAAATGTTTCAATAATTATTTCGTTGTGTTCAATATATTTATGAAAGCAATCATTTTATCTAATAAAAATCAAATTATAAATCATAAAATTCTTATCAATTCTGTCTTTATCATCGTCACAATATACGTATATATGCTCAGTCTATTTCATGTATCATAAAATAAGTTTTTTTTATTACAAAATCGAATTTCTCTAATAAAACGAGAACGATATCGATTAATATGATGACTATTCTTTTAAAAATTTAGCATAAATAAAAAGACTTATTCCATAATAAGTATATACCTGACAAAAAAACACCTACACTTTTGTCAAATCTGATTTTGATGAGGCATCCAATATGATTTAATCGTCTTTATGTCTTTCATATAGAAAAGAAAAGCAAGGTAAAATAGAAGCGTATATCAATAACAACAACACAAAAGCAAGATTATTGATGAAGGTAAGTATAGTGTATGGAAGTTCGATGAACTCATGTCTATCGTTCATTCTTGTTCTCCTTTCGTTTTCTTTACAATTTTTTTTCTCTTTCTTCATTTTAAATGGATGTATATGTACAATAGTAGTAGTTCAAACAATGAGTCAAGAAAAAAAAAGAAGAATAAAATTAACCGACTTCAATCACTGTTCATTCTCATCGAAAAATGATGAATAAAGAGGATGAACATTGTTCCATATTTTATGAATATGAGATTTTTTTTTTGTTTTTAGATGAGACATCTGTTATATTTACTATTATTATTAATAATTCAAATTATTAAGAGTACGTTTATTATGAAAAATAAAATAGAAATGTTTGTTTTTTCATTATTTTCTTTCGTACTATAGACGTACAAAGTCAAAGTCAATGTTCTGGTGGTATATGGACTCTTCAAGATGTGACTATTGGTTCATTTAAAATTTCATGGAGATATAATATCAGTTCGAATAATGTTCAGTTTCTTATTCAAGGTAAATTTATATTATATTTGTTTATTTCATCAATAATTCATCTATTGAATATTGTTAGGTGAAGCAAATTCGAGTATTGATCTTACAACTACTTATATTGCAATTGGATGGTCTGACACAGCGGCAACAATGGTTCGTGTATTTTTTGAAAATTTTCTATAAGATTTAGTTTGGTTTGTCATTAGAATAATATGGATGTGGTAATGTTTTTTCCTGAAACTCAAACAATTCAAGATAGGTATGGAAAAAAGAACAAAAATGTTGAAATCACTTATTTTTGTTTTTATTTATTGCCTTTAAAGATATTCTCGAGGACATGTAATACCATCGATTGATAATCAACAAGATTTTTGTATTATTCAAACGAATATGACTGGTCAAAATGTTTATGCAGCATTTGAACGACTTAGTACAACAGAAGATGTTGATGATATTAGTTTTACATCAGATATTTACCTAATATTTTCAATGGGTTCTTATACAGTACTTAACGATACAAATAATTTTAAACCACAAAATTATTTTTTTCGTAAATCACTTACAACAAGTATAAATTTAATTAATTGTGTTTCAAGTAAAAAAAAAACTACTTTATGTTTGGAAAAGAAAAAAACACTAAATAATTCTAAATTTAGTTGGTTGTCTAACAGTAAATTGTACAACAAAATCATGTCCGTGTTTACAGGAGATAACATCAAATGTTGGACAATGTATTTGTTTTCCATCATCATCATCATCATCATGTATTTCAAATTCAACAAACTCTCCTTCAACAACTACTCTTTCACCAATATCTGCACTTATAAACGGTCTGATTATTTATATTGAAATTCTCATTTTCGATATTCTATTTTAGGTTCTTGTGAAAATCAAACAAATCCATGTTCATCAAATGGAATTTGTCTTCAAATATCTCGAAGTCAATTTATTTGTCAATGTAAAACTGATTATACAGGGGTAGTTTGTCAAACACCGTTATTTACACCTGATATTAATATTTTAAATACATGTCAATGTTTAAATGGAGGTGTTTGTTTAATTAATGGAACTTGCTCATGTCCGGATCGTTACCGAGGAAAATTTTGTCAATTAGGTTTGTTGATAAGAAAAAAAAGACAAGTATTTGATTTAAAGAAAGAAAAATCTATATTTTTCTTTTAGAAAATCCATGTAATGACTATTGTCATAATAATGGTCTTTGTACAGTTGTTTGTGTGGACACATCATGTGAAACACCAAATTGTACATGTGTAAATGGTTATAGCGGTGATCAATGTACTACAATCATTAATGATGTATGCCAATCAAATCCTTGTATTAATGGAAATTGTACTGAAACAATAGATGGAGATTTTCAATGTCAATGTAATCATGGTTATATTGGTATTCGATGTGATATGAGTAAGAGATTAAGAGAAGAAGAAAAAAAAAATCTTTTAATGACTTTTATTTATAGTTAATAGTTGTTTATCAAATCCATGTAATCAAGGCACTTGTGTAACATCTTCGAATTGTCTTGGTAAAATTTGTGGTTATTCTTGTCTTTGTCCAAATGATACTACAGGTTATTGTTAAAATTAATTTTTTTTAACAATATTAATAAAGAATTAAATTAAATAGGTACAAATTGTGAAATTGGTGGAGATCCATGTTGGAGTAGTCCATGTAAAAATGGGGGCAGCTGTTCAATATCATCAAATACTTATTCATGTCAATGTATATCACCATATGGTGGTACTAATTGTGAATTAATTATAAATGTATGCACACCAAATCCTTGTTTAAATAATGGTAATTGTATTCGAAATTTAAATATACATGATGCCGAATATAGATGTGAATGTCAAACTGGTTATATGGGTACACGATGTGAATATTGTAAGTAATATTACTTAAAACGCGAAATTTTGATTTGAAAAATAGTCTTTGGAATAAATTTATTTTTTTATAAGATACTAAGTTCTATCTATTGCTAATATTTAGTAAATGATTGTATTTCATCGCCATGTAAGAACAGGAGTCAATGTATTCCATCTATAACGAATTGCAATTCAACAACATGTCCAATTAGATGTCTTTGTTTAAATGGTACAACTGGTGTTTATTGTGAACAACAAGACGATACATCTTGTTCAACAATATCGTGTTTGAATGGTGGAACTTGTTTAATAAATAAAGAAACTAATATTTCATATTGTCAATGTCCATCAAATACAATTGGTAGTCGGTAAATTTAAAATTTTTACCAAAAATTTTTATTTTTTCAAAAAAAAAAATCTTTCTTTGTTTTCGAAGATGTGAAACAATTCAAACAGTATGTACAAATGAAATTTGTTCAAATAATGGAGTTTGCTTTATTGATGCATCATCTGGTAATAATACAGCACGTTGTTTATGTTCTGAAGGTTATACTGGACAATATTGTCAAACATCATTATTATCTATTAATGATTGTTCACGACAACCTTGTGGATATGATGGTACATGTATTCAAACATCTATATCATCTTATTATTGTATTTGCTCCAATGGTTTAACTGGACGATCCTGCAATTCTAGTAAATTTGTTTTTCAATCTCATGTTATTTATTTATTTTTCTTTTGTGACAGACAACCTGAAAGGAGTGTTGAAGTATAAGCGTAAAAATTTGAATCCTTTCACAGATTGTGATAGATAGTGTTAATATGAGATAAAAGGCCGTATATCAACAACACCTCGTAATAATACATAAACTACTTCTTTATTGAATTTCTAGAGGATTAAATAAAATGATCGTGAAGAAACGTGTCTTAAAAGAATTTTTTTTGTGATGAGCAAAAGCAACTATATCATTTTCTAATTGTGTAGGGATTCCGCTAAAAGCTTTTATTATTTTTTTTTCTTAGGTGTATTAACTTCATGTGCTAGCTCACCATGTCGTCATTTATCAACATGTCAACAAATTGAAAATACAAATCCTTCAAGTTATAAATGTATTTGCCCAAATTATTTAACAGGTGATCGATGTCAATATACAAATACTTGTCAAAAACAACCTTGTTTAAATCATGGTAGTTGTATTCCACTTGGTCCACAAAATAATTTCATGTGTCTTTGTTCACCGGGTTATGGACATTATGATTGTTCAATATGTAAGAATGTAAATTTTTACAAAAACGAATGATATTGTTTATTTGATTTAAATAGATTTGGGTTTATCATGTAATTCTAATGTATGTTTAAATGGTGGTACATGTGATCATAATGGTACGAATATTCAATGTATATGTCCGACAAATTATGCTGGACCACGTTGTGAATGGAGTAAATAAAAATAGATAGTTTTACTTATGTTGATCGCTTATAAAATGATATTTTCGTTTTGTTTAGCTTCTGTTTGTTCTGGAACTACATGTCAAAATGGTGGTACATGTCGACAAATAGCTCCAACAATGGCTGAATGTTTATGTCAAATAGGTTTTACGGGTCCAACTTGTAGTTTACGTCAGTTTGATTATCTAGATTAGTTTATTATTTTTTTGTAGAAATTGTTTAATTATTTAGGAGACTCATGTGCAAATTCACCATGTAAACATGGTGGTGGTTGTACAACGTTACTGGTTGATACAGGTACAAGTTGGTCAGCTTATCGTTGTGTTTGTCCACCGGGTATTTATGGACAAAATTGTGATACAGGTAAATATAAAATTTCATATTGAAATTCTTTTTTTTTTCTATAATTTTTTTTTTGATTTTAGCAATTAGTTCTTGTTCAAATATGCTTTGTCCAGCATATAAAATATGTAGTGAACAACCAACAGGACCTGTATGTACATGTGCAGGAAATAAAGTTGGTACATTTTGCCAATATGGTAAGTTGAAAAGTGAATATTCTAATATTTATCTCCTCTTGGCTTCTATTTAGATAATCCATGTAGTCTATCATCATCGATTTGTCACAATGGTGGTACATGTGTATCATCCAATACTGATCCACCTATACGTTCATGTCTTTGTCGAGAAGAATATACAGGTACATATTGTGAAATATTAAAAGAAAGTGATCCATGTGCTAGTAATCCTTGTCAAACACGTGGTTATTGTGCATTATCAACATCAAATAAAACTTATACATGTGTATGTCAAGAAAATTTTATTGGTGAAAAATGTGAACGAAATAATCCATGTTTATCATCACCATGTTTAAATCAAGGTATATGTCAAGCTAATTGGAATTCAACAGATACCTGGTTTAATTGTCGCTGTGTTGGAACTTATACAGGAAATAGATGTGAAACATCTATGCTTAATCCTTGTGGAGGATTATGTATGAATGGGTAAATATTATTTTTTTCTTATAATTACATAATGGGCATATATTCTAAAGAGGACGTTGACAAAACTTATTTTCTATCAAAAACTCATATTTTTCGTAAAGAAAATGCGTGAAGAGATTCTTATAATAAACTTTCGTTGAAATATTTTGATTTTAAAAATAACAAATTTTCCATCATTTGGCGCAATTTTTCGTGTTGAGATTTCAAATGTGTCATCATTTGTATCTTAAAGTATATCTGAGACAATAGAATATGAAAAGTCTTTAAAAACCAAGATTTTTCATGAAAACTGTACTACATTGAGTTTGGAACTGTCCTAAAGTGTGAGCATAGACTATACTGAATACGTCTTTTCAGAAAACCCTTAGTTGAGAAAGCATGCATATTTTTCTCAACAGAAAAACTTTTCGAACACAATTTTCCATATAGAACGATATAGTAATACCTCTATGATTTATTTCTCAAGTCTTTCAACTTTCTTCTATGATGATAGAAACTTGACCATAGTCTTAAGCTTTGGATTTTCTCAAATCCTTTTTCATGAAATGTCTACGTTGTTGTTGTTCATCGTGATACAATCTAAAAGAGATTTTGGAGTGTAAGTGTAATAATTTGAACCCTCCTCAGTATCCTATTTTTTCAAAGTTAGAGAAATTGGAAAACCTGGTTTTTGAAAACACACTATGTAGTATAGGAATGTTCACATTTTAGAGGCCTAGTAGTTAGAACGACACAAGAAAAAAAACAGTTTTTAATTGTACAGAGTTTCACTTGAAGATTCGTAAAAATGTACTTGATTCGTCTATCGAACAGTTTCATTTTTGTCAGATATCAATTTTTCCGATGACATCACGATTATCAAGCTAATTTATGGACAACTGATTTTCCAGTTTCTCTGACATTTGTAACAAAGTTATTTATATCATTAGATAGAGATGCACACTGTGACAGACGCTAGTTGGTGACCATCTCAAAAACCTTAGCAACATCTCCTATAACATTTCTGAAAATTTATTATTTGAACGTTTTTTTTTTTGTAGAAGCCCATGTAATAATGGAGTTTGTGTTTGTCCAGTTCAATATACAGGAACATTTTGTGGATTTGGTAAATAGTTTTTTTATTTGAAAAATTTATGACTAGATTTGTTTTATTAATTAGATAATCCATGTTATAATCAAATATGTCGAAATAATGGTATTTGTTCAGTTATTTCAAATACAACAAGTGTTTCATTTACATGTACTTGTTCAAGTTCATATACTGGTCAATATTGTGAAATACTACTTAATATACAAATGAATGGTAGTTGTTTAGTAGAATGTATGAATGGTGGTTCATGTATAAATGGAATGTGTATGTGTACATCACAATATGTTGGACCATCATGTCAACATGGTAAGTTAGAAAGAAAAACAGAAAATATAGAAAAAAAACACGTGTTTTTTTTGTGTCTAATAGAAAATCCATGTATTCATCAAAATCCATGTTTGAACAGTGGTACATGTTTTGGTCGATATAATATAAATGGAACATTGTCTACACAATGTTTTTGTCTTCAAGGATTTACAGGAAGTTATTGTGAAGGTAAGCATAACAAAAAAGAACAGAATGGAGTTGATAAGATAAATTTTTTTTTTCAGCAACACTTTGCTCGGCAACATCATGTAATGGTGGTATTTGTACAGCTACACAAAATAGTATTGTTTGTGTATGTCCAACAGGAAAATTTGGTGATCGTTGTCAAGTAATACTTTTTTTTTTCTTTTGTCTTCGTTCTTTGAATTTTTTTGAAATTTATTATAATGAATTTTTAGTATGCAGATGCATGCGCTATTAATCCATGTTTATCGAACGAACGATGTGAACAAATAGGAAATCAATATCAATGTAAGTATTAATCAATTGAAATATAATGAAATGTAAATTTTTATATTTCAAAAGGCGTTTCATGTTATGATAAAAGTTCATATTGTTCAATCTATCAATTACGTAATGAATATTGTGATAATCGTTATACAATACTTGTTGATAATGATTTTCTTTCTGTACCTCAAGCATGTCAACGTTCATGTGGTCAATGTATACCTGTACAACGTTTAAAAGATATTTCTTTCTTATTTAATAATTCAATATTAATTGAAGAAAATAATACAATATTGAGTACACCAACAATAATAAGAAATATACAACAAGAAAAATGTATGGATAGACGAGATGATTGTTTAATGCAAAAAGCATATGGATTTTGTCGAATTCTTAATGAAAAATATCCAGATGATTGTGTTAAAACATGTCATCCTGATTGTGCTAATCTTTCTTAATACATTTTTATTCTGAATATTTTTTTTTCGAAATACAATAAAAGTATTGGTTGTCCTATAGAATTCCAAAGTATGAGTTTAAATTATGAAAACAAAACTCAAAAGACCATACTTATTAAAATGACTTTAGAAATAGGCTCATAGTAAAACACAGCAGCGTGGCGCAGTGGAAGCGTGCTGGGCTCATAACTCAGAGGTCGGTAGATCGAAACTACTCGCTGCTATTCTTCATTTTTTTTCTTGTTGTTTGATGACTAAGAGACAGAACAGAAAAGAAACATTGAGTACAGATAGACAAAATGTTTTTGTTTTTTTTTCCTTTTTCCTAACATTTTGCGACATTGGAAGTTTAGTATACAACTTTGAGTCATACTTTATTTTACCTAACTACGAAAAACAGCATCAGGTGACGTTTTTTCATTTTCTACAATGGCACAACAAGTTCATACATACGATGACGATGATTTCGAAATTTTATGTGACACATCATCCATACAAATTCCACATACGTTTGAATCATATGGTAGGTAAAATCAATAAGAATTGACATAATAAGTTTTTTTTTCCAAAAGAAAAATAATATTTATATATTCATATTTTGACTTTTTTTATTCACAAAACTCATGATCTTCACTCTAGATAGCAACTCTTTATCATTGACAAATATGGATACTATAGTCGAAAAAAAAATTTTTAACGATAATCAAATAATTAATGATATCAAACCTTCATTAACTATGAGTTTTAATTCTTTACCACCTCGTTATGGTTCAGCAGCAGATATTCCATATGACGAAGGTTTTGATTTAAAATCTATTCTCAATTCTAAACCAGCAATACCATCAAATGATATAATGAGTGTATTAAATAATAACAATAATAATGATAATAATAATAAATTACAACAAAATCAACAACAATATTCTTCTGTTACCAATAATCTCAATGAATTACTTATTAGTTATGCTCGTGATCGTGACAATCTTCTTCAAATAGCACGACAAGTTCAACAAGATTTTATAAATGCAATGAATTTGGATTGATTTATTTTATTGAAAAACAAAAAAAAACGAAAAATAAAATTTTATTTCCTATATTTCATAAAATGAAATGAACATTTTTTTTGCACATATATTTTTATATTAATAATAAAGCGAATGTCCTATAAGATTTATAATAATTGATATTTCAAGAATTTTTTTCAGTATTTGACTAGTTGTTTTCGATGTAAATCGATCACCATAAAATAATATAACTAACCAAAGACATATATTAAATATAAATACAGGCATAGAATATTCAAGAATTTTAACTATTAAATAGTAAATTTTATCAAATAAATATTTATCAATATCAGTACCTATTTCATGAATTAATTCATTACGACGATCGATAGCTGTTTCAAAAACATAATTTCGATTGTAATAAATTATTAAAATTGATAGAAAAATTATTAAAGTTGATAGAATAATTTGAAATAATTTCCATTTTTGAGTTTTAATTGATAAAGATTTTTTTATTGGTTGACATTCATGTTTAAAGTCTCCACGACGATGAATTGTATGACATTGAACACATTCAACAAGCAATTCATCAAGCATATTACGAATAAGTCGACTTGATTTTGGTAAATCTATATTGAATTCAATAGGTAATGTATTACTCCAATAACAACGACATATTGGACAATTAGACTCAACTAATTGTAATAAACATGAACGACAAAATGCACTATCACATATTATATGTGTATGTGGGTCTTCAAGAATACTTAAACAAATAGGACAAACTAATGATGATGATATTAAATGTTCATTAACATAGATATATTCCGATTTATCCATGACAATAAATGGCAATACACTGAGTCACCTTTATGTATATATAATAAAAGTACATTCAAATTCGATAATAAAATCTGCAAAAGAAAAAAAATTCGTAAAACTGAAGAAAAAGAAAAAACAAATAGTTAAATATTTTTTTTCATCCAAAAATCGATCATGACTGATAGACAGGATTGTTTTTTTTTTTCTTACACCTTCTACTTCATTTCCGATTAATTGAAAACATGGTGACGATGCTGATGACTCATCTATTAATAATTTACCACCTCCGTATCACTACTCAAATCCAACAAAAAAAATAATATTGACCAAAGTTACATGCGCATACAAAATACACTCACACATTGAAACACATAACAAACACACATAGAAACATACAGATACATGTCACTTCTTAATAACGATGAATTCATTAAATCATTCAAACATATGATTCATCATCATTTTTTGTACAGTTTGTTTAAATGGACTTAACCATGTCAGTTGTTCAATTAGCTGGCGGACAGGTGAAACATACTGTTCAGAATAATAATAATGATGATGATGATATATAGAAGAAGAAAAGGACGGTACAATTAATTTAGATGAAGGAATTGCTAGTGACTGTTGTTGTTGTGGTTGTGGTTGAGATTGTTCAATATCATCAAGTGAATGAGTTGAATATCCATCATCATTATCTATTGTCTGTTCATCACAATAGAATGATGATGATGGTGATGATGAAATCATTGTTTGACTAAAATCAATTTGATCGGTATTTTCATTCTCATCGATTATATCATAAACATAGGTCGTTGATATTTCATAACAAATATTTATTTCATTATCGGATGTGACGTTCGTTTGATCTGATATAATAATTAAAATATAACTTACATCAATAATTATTTATATATACAAACCTTGTAGTATCTCAGGTGACATTAGATAATTACTATTATCATTATTATTATTAGAATTTGATGTTAATTTACAATCATCTTCAGAGCATTTCGACAGAATATTAATGTGACATGGTAATTTGTCATTATTACCGGTATTTTTTACAAAAATATTAAGTAAACCACGATGAATATCATATTCAAGATTAATTTTAAGTTCATCCGTTAGACTAACACTTTGCCAAACAATATTAGATGTTTGTAACATAGTAGCCATTGATGAAAAACTAGAAAACAAAAAGATAATTATCATTTTATGGTTTTTTTGTTTTTTAATATGTAAACTTACGACGAAAGATTTGACATGTGACGCAAAATATACTAGAATGAGAAAGCGTGCGAATTCAATCTATACTCGACACGATATGCGTAGTTATAATACGATGCTTTTTCTATTCTTTTGCCGTTCAAATATAAAGAAGAGTTTTTCTCTTTTTCTTCTACACTCTTCAGCTGATGTTCGATATGAAGAGAAAAAAAAAGTTAGCGCGCGAACGTTTTCTCTCTCTCACATTTCTCTGTTAGAATGAACAAACGAACTTTCCATAGTATAGGACCTCATCGCTTTTTTTGTAAGGGATCACGTCTCAACTCAAGTTGACAAGCAGCAGAAACACAAAAAGAAAAAAAAATCATAGAAAGCATTGGCTATTTTTTTTCTTTTTTTTTCCCATCGCTCGTCTGTCTATGACATTCATAGAATTAACACATGCTTTGCCATTTAACAGAGAAAAGAAAAAAACTTTTTATATCATCTTTTTTTTCTTTTGAACAAGGACGTTGAATGAGCAGATGTGAGTCAAAACAAAAGCATTTAATGCAAACAAGGACGTAACATCACATTAGCACTAATGTCTAAAGGACCTTCTTTTGTCAGTATATGGTAAATTCTTTTTAATATAATGAATAAAAGAAACTAATAGGAGTGAGGAATAATTGATAGATTGGGCTACACAAGTATTAACATTTTTTTCATTCATATTACACATAAATATCATTTAACTATGTCATGTAAATATTTCTTTCGTTATTATTCTTGATGACATTTGATTATATTTCATGCATATAAAATTTTATTATGGAAATGCAATGTTCTGTTTTATAATTAATTGCAAGTATTTCGTAGGGTTCAGATTCTACTTTATTTTTGACGCCTTTAACAAAGTAAATTCAAATAATAATTATCGATAAAGGAAAAACAACTTCTTTTTAGTAATTTTTTAAGTGTTTTTATGTTCAATAAATAGGAGTTTAGCATGCATGCTTTCTAGCCGATTGCAAATGTTTTATAGTGACGACATACATAACGGAATGCTCTATATTTAGCATACAAATAAATATTTGTAATAACGAGTCTGCATTTTTTTTTATTATATCGCATTAGTGTCTGCAAATAGGTGAATGTGGATGTAGATATTCTTCTAATGCAATCCTTATTTCTCGCTAAGTTTCAATCACAAATGAAGGGAACAAAATGATGAAATTTCAACTGTATTTCATTTACTCGAGTGATATCTTAAGAAGAAATCCTCTGTTCGATGAGCTGAAATTTTCACGATATCATAAGAACTAGAGGTGGACACAGAATAACTTTTTCTGTCCTGTTAGGAAAGCAAAATTTGAGCTTCAAGCAACCGATTGATATATCAACAACATAACTCTTTTCATTTTTTAATGGACTTCTTATTTCAACGATACTAGAGTATATGTAATATACTCGCAAATGTTTCATTTATTTTTTATTATTTGCGGCTGAAACTTTGCGAATAAATAGAGTAATAAGCAATGTATCTGTGATATAGATTCTACAACAAACAACAACAGTCCAGAGAATTGGTCGAAAAAAATAAGGCGCTTCGTTGATTTTGATTAGAAGCAGATGACCAAATTTTTTAAAATGTTTTTTAGCTTGGTCCACAGAAGTATTTGTGAATAGTGATAGTTGACTTAACTAACTTTCAAAAAGGTTTCATTACACATTCGCTAGAGATATTAAGATCAATAAAATAAAAACGATATATGGGTAATGACCCGTACTAGTTCCGTCTCTATTGATCTACGCCATTGCTGTTTTTGAAATACGATAGTTTCTATTAAATAATTTAATGATAAGAAAATATATAATTAAGAAAAACAAAAAAGTTCGTTATACTTTTTCATATACAGTTTGTATGTGTTGTCCATCAAATTTAAGTTCAAATTTATCTTCACCATGATATTTACTTGTTTGAACATACCATTTGCCTTCAAATTGATTATTTTGTGCATTCCATGTCAATTGAATAGTGACTTGATGACCTAAATTTTCTGATGAATTACCAGTACCTTGTTGATATATTTTTGTAAAGCCCATTCGATATGTTTCAATTGAATAAGTACCATGTATAGTAAATGTACCAACATCATCTGATCCTGAACCTGTTATTATCATAGATTGAGGATCAAACGAGAGTGATAATTGATAAGGTCCATGCCAATTTCCATATTGAAAGTATCGATTTGACCAAATACCTGACTGAAAATGATTGATATCATATGCTTCTTGTTTGAAATTTTTTGATTTTGCAACTTTGACGAAGGTTGAATTTTTTCGAAGTGGTCGACCTTTACAGTATTTGAAACCCAGCACGATTGCGACGACTAACAAACTCAATCCGATGATACCACCTAAAATACTTCCCACGATAATACCAGCACGCCGCCGGCAATCATCAGTCGTACATGATGCACCACTGCCTCTGTTCCCTCCTGATACAGAAAATGTATCAAATTAGATCATTAAAAGTTCTATGGAAAATTCAGAAAATAATTTAAAACATGGTTTGATAATTTCAAGACTAAGTAGACTCTCAACAAAAAAAACAAAAGATAAATACCTCTTCCACCGCCACCACTGCCACCACCACTGCCACCTCCACCTCCGCCACCACCTTGACATTGAATAAGAATCACGAAGTAAGCAAGAAACAGCAGCACACGATAAACAAGATGCATTGTGCTATGAACATATTTTAATTCGAGCGTAGGCCTTATCATCAAAATAAGAACGCAGTCAAACTCTGAATTCATTGGCACAATATTGGAATTACAATTTTATGGATGTAGATGTAGATCATGGATAAAACTGACCTAATTAAACCAGACCAGATTAAACTAGCCAGTATACTGGTTCAATCAGTGAACGACGGTACGTTAATATATAGGCAGGTTTAAAATCTATACTGGTACTGGTTGCATTTCTATAGTCAGTCAATTGTTTAAAGGATAATCACTTTAACGTGAAAGGTCACTACTTCATTCATTTTTTATATAGTTTGTCTGATCTAAACTGAACAGTTATTTTTAATAAGCCTAGGAAAATGATAGGTTATATCGGCAGACGGACCGATATAAAACCTGTACCAGGTCAATCTATACCAGAAAGTATAGATTCCATTTATTGCGAGCAAGGACTTCGGATGTCGGTTAAAAGAAGGTCTACATCTATACTCTTATTTTTTTAAACTGTAACTGTAACTGTTTTCAATTTTAGTTTTGTTCAAGAACAATCTAGTCAAAAGTCGAGTTCTACTTTTGTCAGATCACGATTGAAATTTCATTTATGTTCGAACAAATGCAGGATTTATCTGCTGTCGAATTTTGATTGTAAAGTATGCACATATGTACACTTACCGTGTATTTGTGAAATATAACAGTGGAAGAAATTTTCTATTTCACCTGTATATAGCTGACGTTAACAAATGATTCACGTTTCACTTATTAGCGTGATTATGATTGATTCAGCATACAGCAGAACATAATATTGCCATTGAAAAGAAAGACGTCAGAAAAATATGTTTACATGTCTTGCTGTGCAAAAAAAAATATGATACGGAGCAGGTATCAGAGATAGGATCGGTTCGTGTTTTTTCGAGCGAAACCGAACTGAATCAAAATTTATAGTAAGCTAAGAAATATTCACAGTGTTCCAAAAGTCATAATTACTGTGTAAATGCATATAATTTCACTACTGATGAAGCTCAATCCAAAACATTTTTCTGTTTTAGAGGGAGCGAGGCTTGATAGTTTTACTTATAAGAACCAAGTTCCTCAACACTGGAAAAGATAACAGCTAGTTACGATAGGCTATTTAGATACCGAAAACAATTTATACTATATTTCTATCGATATAAAAGAAAGCGAACAACCAATTTCATCGACCTATGAGCTATAAAATGATGGAACCTTAGAGGTGGTAGCTTACCATTAGCATTACATTAACTAAGCCTATTTTTATACTTTTGTATTAGTATTAAAATATCATTACTTTAATACTAATACTCGCAAACAACATATTAAATAATACCAATTTGATTCTAATTATAATTCAAAACTAATAGCAAAATTTTAAATTGTATTAATGCTAATACAAAAGCGTTAGCAGTATTCTAATACTCATATTAAGCAGACATCTCTATGTAGCATATTCGTTTTACAGCTATCAATGTTATTGAAGAACCACTAATGAACTACTTTGAAGCGATGCATACATAATTCGATTGTTTTCAACAAGGCAAATAAATGATTGAAACGGAACTATGAAAGATCTAAATGATCTCAGTTAATTAATAACAAAACAGATTAGAGTTAATGCCCAAAAAAAAGCCCCATTTGGTTTTCACTATTGAAAAAAGCCTAGTTTTTTTGTTGTAATCAAAGTGCTACCTTTTCTAATGTTGATGAATTGGTTCTTAAAAAACTTTCTATATCTCTCTTATAAATAATGAACGTTTTAGATTTAGCTTGATTGAAGTAAAATTATATGCATTCATATAGTGATCATAACTTTTATCATATTTGGTATTAGATTATCAATTTTAGATGGGATCAGTTCGAATGTTTTTGATTCACGGAAGGTATAAACATCAATTTCAGTTCAAACCAATTCTATTTCTGTTTTTTGCCTTGGAATGGGATTTGTAATTTATAACAGTTGACTGTAGCTGCAGTTGGAACTGACTAAATTCAACTTAGAATTGAAGTTGGAATTTATCAGAATTTATTGTGGAAAAAGTTGAGATCGAATAATTAACTCATGTAAAAATGTGAAAAATTAGTATTTCTAAAATAAACAGTTGCGACCAATTCCTATTTCGCTTTCAGTCAATTTTAGGAACAAATGCATTCATTAATCGAACCGAACCAGTCCCATTTCTGGTAGGTATTAAAAAAAATTTATTTATCCGTAGAACATTCTACTGAAAAACTGAGTTGCTCTATTTATATGCTCCTTTGTTGACACTAGAGTTCACTTGCTTTTAAAATGGTCTTTTTTAAGGAATGACAAAGACTTAGCCAAGTACAAAATTTCTCTTGAACGTCGTCTAAGCTATGTTACTCTATGGACATAATGCATTATTTTCAATTCGATAAGTTTACATTCATAAGACAGTTTTCATCTTGTCATATTTTCAATGGAAAACGATTAAACCCACTCTCATATTGAAAAGTTCTGGATTTTTTCATATCGAGATCTGTTGAATTTATTGTAAATTTGGGCAAAACAAAATTGCAATGAATCAATCGTTTTGATGCGTCTTCTCTTATAGAAAAATATATAATAAACATACCAGATAAATAGATATCTATCTTCAACGGATTATACTATGTACAGTTGAACAAAAGTCAGGAAAACCTTCTATTTTCACTTATATCAAGTAAGAAACAATTCGTTCCAAGCCAACCATGCTAAAGGTAGAAAAAAAAAGAAATTTTATATGGTGTCAATCCACTTTCTGTGCAAAATCACTCATCTCTGATCGATAATGCTACGAATACTGGTAGTGTCTTATTTCAGTATATTGTTCGATTATTTAGAAAATATTCAGTAGCAAATACTTGGCACAATAGCATACAATTGAGGGAAATGAAACAGAACAATTGATCCCCTCCTCAACGTTACGTTTTGTATTTCTTCACGGAAGTTTTGTATGTGGCTGTGGTTCGAAAAAATCTCAATTTCTGGGACTGTATCTAAAACGAAGGTTGGTTTTTTTCGAAGTGATCGGCCTCTACAGTATTTGCAACTCAAGATGGTTGCGACGACTAACAAACTGCATCCAATGATTCCACCTAAAACACTTCCCAAGATAATACCAGACCGTCGCTGGCGATCATCAGTCGTACAGGATGTACCATTACCTCCGTAGTATCCACCGCCTCCAAAACCACCTGAAAAATAGAAATTATATCAAAATATGTGATTAAAGTCCAATGGAAAATTCAAAAACATTTGAAAACATATATCCATAGTTTCAAGATTATGCAACTCCCAACAAGAAAACAAAAGGTAATTACCTCCTCCGTCAGCACCTTCACTACCACCACCACCTTGACAATGAGTGAAAGTCACGAAATAAGCAATTAACAGAAGCATGCGATAGAGAATATGCATGGTATTATAAAAGAATTTAAATTCGAGCGTATTTATTAAAGTTAAAATCAAAATGCAGTCAAAGTGTGTATTTGTCCGAACAATATTAAAATTCTAATATTGAGGATGTGAACATGGCCTATAGATGGAAACAGTCTGATTACCTGAGACCAGACCAGTCTGTCTGGTATGCCAGGTCAAACGGTAAACGATCGTCCGCTGATTGACAGGCTGGTATTAAATCCGTTAGTCTACAGTAGCTAGTTGCCAGAATGGCTTCCATCCATAGGATGGACAGGAACTTCGAGTGTGAACTAAGAGACGGTCCACATTTACACGCTAATATTTTTTAAACTCTAACTATTTTCAACTCAAACAATTTATTTCTAGTCAAGTTCTAATTTTCTCTAAACGAAACTAGAATTCTAGTGTTGTCTGATCACAATCGAAATTCCATTTTTGTTCGGACAAATGCAGAGCTTGCCTACGTTCTAATTTTGACTGTTAAGTATGCTTACATGTACACTTAGTATTTATATGTGAGATGTGACAGGGAGAGAAGTTTTTTTTTGCATGTGTATATAACTGACGTTAACAAATGATTCATGTTCCACTTGTTGGTGTCAGTTGATTGATTCAGCACAGAACACAACTTAATGTTGCCATTGAAAAGAAAGACGTCAGTAAATATATTTTTGCTTCTTGCTGCACGAAAAAATATGATGCAGAATAGATGTTGAAAAAGAAATTTTATTTGTCCGTAAAACATTCTACTGAAAAAAATTGAATTGTTGAATTTATGTCCCTTTGTTGACACTAGAGTTTACTTGCTTTTAAAAATGTCCTCCGAAAAAGATACGAGAGACTTAGACATGTGCAAAATTTCTCTAGTATGACGTCTTAGGTATTTTACTCTATGGACACAGTACATTATTTTTAATTCGATAAGGTCTTATTCATAAGAGACAGTTTTCATCTTGTCATATTTAGAATGCAAAACAAATCAATTTGCTCTCATATTGAAAAGCTCTAGGCTTTTGCGGGTTAAGATTCGTCAAATTTATTGAAAATTTAGTCAAAACATAAAATTACTATGAATTCATTTCTTTGATGGGTCTTCGATCATAGAAGAAAATTTAACAAAAATTCTAAAAAAATAAATGCCTACTTTCAACCAATTATACTGGTTTCAGTAAAGCAACACCAGAAGAAACTTCTGTTTTCACTTAAATCAAGTGAGAAATGATCTGTTCTAAATCGACTGCGATAAAGGAAAAAATAAGAAATTTTGTTGTAGGATGTGGGTGACTAAGAGTGAAATAAGAACCACGCCCGTGCCCACATCCTCGACTTTTACGTAATGTCCACATTGCTACCCAATGTGGGTGAGTGTGGGTATGAGCTTATAGTTCATCCATACGTACATTTACAACTTAATTCAACGTTTAGAATTGTTTCTCATTCAGATACAAATTCATTGTAACCTACATCATTTACCGAACATTTAAAATTCAAACGATGTGTTGTTAGCGTCAATAGAAGTCACTGCATTAAAGCTAAATGTTCTACTACAAGTCATTGT